GGGCCCTCTTAGACCGCCTGGGGTGCCCCCTGGGGGTACTGCTGGCCTGTCTTGGTACTTTCTGAAGCCCAGGGATCCTAAGGGGGGGGGGGGGGGGGGGGGGCGACGTGCAGGAGGCAAAACACACAGGAGGAGGAGGGGGAGGATGAGAGGAGGAGGAGGAGGAGGAGGAGGAGGAGGAGGAGGAGGAGGAGGAGGAGGAGGAGGAGGAGGAGGAGGAGGAGGGGGGTGACCCTAAGGGGGGGGAAGCCCTGGGACCGCCTCCCTCTAATTGCCCCCCACGGGGGCTCACCCCGCCCCGACGGGGGAGGGATCAAATGGAAAGCGAGCAGACAAGCCTTGAGTCGGGCGTGTCCCTCGACAGAAGTGGTCACAAAGTTGTCAGGGGCACGCTTGGACCTTTGACAACAAGGTCGCATATGTTCAATATGGTCCACAACAATATTCAATTCAACATGGTTCACAACAATATGTTCGAATATGTTGCAGCTTTGTCTTCTTTCTCGCCCAGACTCCGCCTGTAGGGCTGTAGGGGGGCATGCCCGACCAAAGACAAGCAAGCCCCTCGTGTCTGCTTCTTTGTGCGTTCCTGGGCGCCCTCAGCGGCACGGGGGAGAGTCGGCGTGGCCTCGGCCTCGACGGGCCCCCCTCCGTGGAGCGGCCCCTGCCGCTGCTGAGAGGCCGCGAGGTGCTGCTGCAGGACCCGGGCGGGCGGGGAAACGGTCGGGCGGGTGGTAAGCTCAAGTCGGGCCTGTCCCTCTACAGGAGGAATAGTAAAAATAGTTAAAATTGTATGGGGGCGATTGTTTTACTATGTTTCGATATGTTTGAAATATGGTTGACTATGTTTTTTATTTCTCGACCAAGATCCGCCTGTAGGGGAAGATGCCCGACCTGATGGTGAGCCCTAAGGGCTTTTAGTTTTGCTTACCCCCTGCTGCTCTCGGCAGGGAAGGAAGAAAACTCGTCCCTCTTGATCCTCCTGCAGATCATCATGTTCCGTCATTGGCGGAACTCCAGTCCGCCAACAAGTGCGGTGGGGGTCAGGAGAGGGGTCGGTAAGTCTTGGGCCCGAGATTATCGGGCGGGGTGCTCCACGGACCGGATCCAGGGGGGGAAGGGGACGCGAGAGGCGGTGGGGATCAGAGCGGGGGACTCCGGAGACAGGATCCAGAGGGGCGGCATGCCGGACGCGGCGGGGGTCCAGGTGGGGGTGGGATCTGGGCTTTTGCCGAGCATTTTTCGGGCGAGGCGCGAGGCGGGGCTTGTTGGAGGCGAGGCGGGGGGTCGGGGCGGGATCGGGGCCGAAGATTGCCGGGTGGTGGGCTCGCTAGGGATGCCGAGGAGAGGTGAGGGGCTGGTGGAGGCGAGGTGGGGGGTCGCGTGGGTTCCGGACACACAAGATTGGCGCGTGGGGGGGCCCAAGATCAAGACCCACAAAAGTGGGGATACCGAGGCGAAGTGGTGAGCTGGCGGAGGCGAGATGGGTGGTCGGGGTGGGTTCTGGACCGGAATTGTCGGGTGGGGTCTCTAAGAAGAGGATCCAGAGTGTGGGGATTGCCGAGGCGAAGTGGCGACCTGGTGTGGCGGGGCGGAGACGTGGTGCTGACCAAGTGGAAGGTCGGGGTGGGTCGGGGCCGAACATTGTCGAGTGGGAGGGCTCAGTATCAGGTCGAGAAGGACCCCGCGAGAAGGATCCCGCGAACGCCTCTGGGGTCGGCGGATTACCCAGACCCCCGACGCCGTGATTGTTTCGTGTCGTGACCCCCAGGAGCCTGGACCACTTCCTGGGAACCGGATCTTCATCCCGGGACGCTTTTTTAGCAGTCCCGAGGCTGGAAACGGCGGGAAACCTCCCGTCGCCATTTCTCTCACAGCGCGAGGAGGTCTGGGAACGCCTCTGGGGTCGGCGGACTGCCGAGGAAGGGCACGCGGCCCACGCCGACCTGCCCGGCGCCGCGGACTTCGCCGAGGCCGTGCGGCGCATCTACGTCCGCCTCTGTGAGGAGCTGCTCGCCGTGCGCCCGCGGGTGCGCGAGCAGCCGCTCGCGGTCGGGGTCGACGGAGGACCGCAGGAGAACCGGCGGCGAGGCCACGGGGGCAGCTGCGAGCCTTCGAGGTCTTCGGCGGGTGCCGCCCGTGCTCGGGGTGCGTCCCAGCGGCTGCGCTTCGCCGGGAGCGTTCCGGAGCTGCCCAGGTTCGTCCCGAAGGGCCACTGGAGGGTGGGGTACTGACCCAAGAGCCACGAAGAGAAGAATCTGGGCACGGTAGGCTCGTGTCGTGACGACCCGGCGCCGACCTTGGCGCGGGCGTTCAAGAGTGAAGTCCGCCAATGGCCCAGAATCGGTCAAGATGGAACGGTGTGGAACTCCACAAGCTGCCGATCCTTCAAGGTTGAGCGATCCGCGCGGTTTCCCCCCTCCCCTGCGCGCGGATGGGGCCAGGGGCGGCGCCAGAGGCGCCGCCAGGGGGTCACAGCGCCGTGCCGAGCGAATCCGTGCGGACATTTGACGCTCATGTCTGCCGCTGTTTTCTTCTTCCATTCGATTGCTATGCGATGAGGGGGTCGACCACCGCATTGCTCTTTACCCCGCCGCCCTCCCGTTCGCCGAGTCGACGAGAAGAAGCAGCACCGAACGCTCGGCAGCTCTGCCAGAGCTCCGCGCGGCTGCTCCAGGGGCGACGAGAAGAGAGCCCGATGCTTGGGGGCGAGGCGGCGCTGCGGTCGCTCCCCGAACCTCGATCGACAGGAGAGCCCGCGGCCGCCGAGGGGTGCGCCCGCGCGGAGGGCGCCGCGGCCGGCGCGGCCCCGTGCGGCACGGTGGTCGTCGAGGTGCCCGTGCCCTTCGGCGGCCGCCCCGCGGGCGCCGTGGAGGTGGCCGCGGTGCACCGCCTGGGCACGGCCACCGCCGCCGCCTTCAAGATGCAGTTCCAGCACCCCTCGGGGGCCATGCGGGCGCCGGCGCAGACGGCCTTCTCGCTCACCTGCAGGGCGCTGGGCGCCGCGCTGGCGGCCCACGGCGACGACCAGGGCCTCGTCATCCCGGCGGGGGGAGAGGGCGGCGTGAGCACAGGCTTTCGGAGGTGCGCGGATGTGTTGGCCAACGCCACGAGCAGGCCATGCATCGAACGGGAGCATCTGGGCTTGTAGTCAAGATTTGATACAGTGGAGGCCCATTCCAAGAAACACCCCGCTTGCCTCCAGGGCGCCCTGGGTTTCTTCGGTTTCGATGCTCTGCGATGGAAGCCGTGACGCTCCCGCACAAAAAATCACTGGAGTCCTGGGGTCTCAGGGCTGGGCTTCTTGCGGAAGGTTTCTTCTTGTGGTCGAGCTCCTACGTACTGTATAGGGACGGTCCTCAAATCTGTGCGCGGGGATCGTTTCGTGGGCGAGGCTCGCCGTGGCCAGAACAGAAAGTCCCTTCGTTCCCTTCGGGGATCACCGCAGAGGGTGGGGGGCCCCGGGGGGGTGAGAGTTCGATAAGTTGTTGTACCGATTCGCCCAAAACAGATGCTTTCGGTAGCAAGTCAGGGGAGCCTGGTCTACCCTCTGCATTCCGTCGCTAGCGTTCATGAACGTCGACTAGCGACTGGGAGTCGATGAGATAGTGCCGATTCAGCAACGATGATCGTCGACTAGCGTCGATTAGCGTCGATTAGCGTCGATTCGCAAGAGCCGACAAGATGGTACGAGAGGCTCCCATGAGTTGCCACCGAAGATGCCCCCCAGCCGCCAGCAGCTCCCGATAGCTGCCGATGGGTGGGGCATGCGGGGGGGACGTCTGTTTGCGGCGCTTCAGTGCACCAGCGGATCGAACTCATGCCCTCCCTCAGGGTCACCCCCCTTTTGGTGGATCCCGATCCTTGTGCGGTGTTCGGTAGTCTCTGAGGTGGCACCATGGCTGTGTCGCCCAGGGCGAGGGTTCCAGCGCCGACCCAAGAAGTCTGCGCGGACCTCCGAAAGCTTACGGCAGCTTCGTGTCGTGTCGACGCGGCGGCCACCCTAGCGTGGGCGTTCAATCGAAGAAGAAAGAACGCCATACATTTCCACTTCTGGCGCTCCGCGCGGATTTCTTGGATCCGCGCTGGGCCCCCCGGCGGTGCCGCCGGCGCCGCTACTGGCGCGCTCCGCGCGCCAGGGAGGGGGGTTCAGCGCGGATCCAAAAAGTCCTCGCGGAGCGCCAACAGTTTATGTCTCTTCTTCTATTCAAGGGTCACGGGTGAACGCCGCCAGTGGCCCAGCATCGGCCGACATGGAACGACCTGGCGCTCGCAGAGCCGCCGATCCTCACAGGCCGAACGACCCGCGCGGTGCCAGAAAAAAACTGGCGCCGGGCTCGTCGCGCCACGAGCTTGCCGCACGATCGCGCCCGCACTCTGCTCTCCCGGACGTCCCGCCGCGGCTGGCGCCGGTGCTCGGTGGCGGCAAGAAATCTCGAGCAGTGGCGACGCTTTCTGGCTTGCCTATAGGCCCACCAAAGAGTGTTATCAGAGCCTCCTGTGGTCTGCACGAATTGCTTTTAGAACATTTCTGGCTCGTGCTTATGTTCCAAGAATATTGTTTTCGTTTTTAGAAGATTGTGTGTCTCTGAGAACATGTCGTGGTAACCCTATAGGAATGCAAGGACGGTCGGGCCCTGTTCAAAAAGCTGTGCACATGCACCAGTCCTGGCCAGAGGCCGAGCCCTCCTTGCCAAGCCAGGAAGGCGTGCGCACCAGTCGATGACCCCGTAGCAAGTCATGGGAGCCTCGTATGTCGTCGCAATCCCGTGTTTGGAGTGCACTCGCGTGCGCTAGCGTGCGGCAATCGATGAGCAAGCGCCGATGTAGCGTCGAGCAGCGTCGATTCGCGTCAGTGTAGCGTCCGTGTAGCGTCCATTTGGCATCGATTAGCGTCGGTCAGCATTGGCCAGCGTCTATTCGCAAGAGCCAGCACGATGGCATGGGGGGCTCCAGTGAGTTGCTACAGAACGGTGACCCGCAGGACGTGTGTTTGCCCAATGTGTGCGCGTGTGTGCCAGTGCGTACCCCCCTGGCTCAGGGCCGCTCCGGCTCGAGGTTGGCCTGCGCGGCCCGGGGGCCAGAGTTTCCCCTGGACCTCGGCTGGCCCGAGGCGCGTTGGGAGGCGCTGCCTCCTCCTGGCGCCCCCCTTCCCGGTGCCATGTCTCCGTCTCCTGGCGGACTGCCGTGGCCACCGCTCGCGAGGCCACCCCCCTCACCTGACTGCGGGGGGGGCCCCGCTGGCCGCCGGCGACTGCTGCTGGCGCGAAGGCCGGCTCGGCCCGCGCAGGGGCCGCGTGCCCGGGGTCCAGGCGCCCCCTCGCGGCCTGCAGCCCCATGCCCGCTGCGGCGGCCGTTCGGGCGGCTGCCCGCGCGGCTGGCGTTGGCCGGGCTGTGGGCGCCGCTTCGGCGGCCGCCGCCGCTGTCTCGCCCGCCGCGGCGGCCGCTCGCGCGGCGGCCGACCCTGCGGCTGCGGCGGCTGGTGTCCCCGCGTCTGGTGCCGCCGCTGCGGTCGTCGCTGCTCTGGCCGTCTCCGCGCGAGCCCGCGCGGGCTTCTGGCCGTGGGGCCAGCTCCAGCGGCGGCCGCCATGGTGTCGCCGGCTGCTTCGGCGTCTCGCGCCTCATAGCGGTGAGCAGCGTGCCAGACTCCAGCAGCATCGGGAGCAGCAGGACGGACTCCGGTAACGCGACCGTGGGCAGCAGAACGGCGTTCCGGCAGCGCCACCGTGAGCAGCAGGACGGGCGCCAGCAGCACCATCGTGAGCAGCTTTCCGGACTCCAGCTGCGCAGCAGTGAGCAGAACAACGGACTCCAGCGGCAGCATCGCGAGCAGCGCAGCGGACTCCAGCAGCACGATCGCGAGCAGCAACACCGTCGTCTCAATCAGACCCATCGTGAACAGCACGACGGACCCCAGCAACGCGGTCCGTCAACAGCACGACGGACTCCAGCAGCACCATCGGGAGCAGCACGATGGATTCCAACAGCACGACCGTGAGCAGCACGACGGATTCCAGTAGCACCACTGCGAGCAACATGACGGGCGCCAGCAGCATCATTCGCAGGTGGACGTGGCGCTTTTTGTTGGCACACCCCGCGCTCCCATCGTGGACTCGTAGGGAACTCCACCGAAGGCCCCAGTGGTACGCTTCGCATGTGGGCGTCGCGCCCTGTTCGGTAATCACACCTCTCACGCGCTTCGTGGTCCCAGGAGTTCCACCGAACGCCCCAGGGGCACCGTTCACACGCGGGCGTCGCACCATCTTCGGCACACCCGTCGCACGTTCCGGGGCCAGGGGGCCCCACCGAAGGCCCCAGCAGCGCCATTCGCAGGGCGACCCCCCCCCCTTTGGCTCACCCCTCACACGTGGCGTGTCCCCCATCCGCACTGCCCCGTGCTCCCTTCCTCTCGCGGCGCGCCACCTGTGATGAGAGGGTCACCTCCTGCGTTCGTCGCAGCTGCATATACGTAGCTAGGTCCGTCGCTTGGCGAACGTGTGGTTCTTGGCCTTTTTCGCACTTCTTGGGAAGGCACACGCTGGTGCTGGCGCAGGTTCCGACGATCATCGAACCAGTTTTTGGGCCGAAGGTGAGCATGGTGAGGATCGGTGCACGCATGTTCACGTGCAACATTTTTTATATTCCGTTCTCCTTCTCCTCTTCCTCTTCTTCATCCTTGGCGCGTTCTCGCACACAGGTGTTTTCGACACGGACGCTGGAGGCGCTCTCTCTCCCCTCTCGTGTCTGAATCTGGGGTTTTCTGCACGCAGGCTCGGGAGGGTTTCACGAGGACGCGCGCTGGTGACGCTGGCGAAGGCTTTCAAGGTCGAGTTCTGCGACGTGGAAGCACGGAGGGACACGGTGCTGTCACTGGGCGCGACGGAACTCAACTTCGAACGATCAGGGCCGCGATCGGCTCAAGGTTGGTCGATCGGCGCGGTGTCAAGAACAGTTGCGTGCGCGCCGACGCCGCGCGAACCTTCTGTAACAGCGTGCTCCTCCTCCTCCTCCTCCTCCTCCTCCTTCTCCTCGTCCTCCTCCTCCTCATCCTCCTCCTCCTCCTCCTCCTCCTCCTCCTCCTCCCCCCTCCTCCTCCTCCTCCTCCTCCTCCTCCTCCTCCTCCTCCCTCCTCCTCCTCCTCCTCCTCCTCCTCCTCCTCTCCTCCTCCTCCTCCTCTCCTCCTCCTCCTCCCCTCCTCCTCCTCCTCCTCCTCCTCCTCCTCCTCCTCCTCCTCCTCCTCCTCCTCCTCCTCCTCCTCCTCCTCCTCCTCCTCCTCCTCCTCCTCCTCCTCCTCCTCCTCCTCCTCCTCCTCCTCCTCCTCCTCCTCCTCCTCCTCCTCTCCTCCTCCCATCCTCCTCCTCCTCCTCCTCCTCCTCCTCTCCTCCTCCTCGCTCCTCCTCCTCCTCCTCCTCCTCCTCTCCTCCTCCTCCTCCGCCTCCTCCTCCTCCTCCTCCATCCTCCTCCTCCTCCTCCTCCTCCTCCTCCTCCTCTCTCCTCCTCCTCCTCCTCCTCCTCTCCTCCTCCTCCTCCTCCTCCTCCTCCTCCTCCTCCTCCTCTCCTCCTCCTCCTCCTCCTCCTCCTCCTCCTCCCCCTCCTCCTGCTCCTCCTCCTGCAGGTGCAGGTCGTGCTGGTGCCGCTCGGCGGGCCCGCCGAGGGGGAGGGCGGCGACTGGTGCGAGCTGCTGGCAGCGCGGCTGCGGCTGCCGGACGGCGAGGGGCGCGCCCTGCGCGTGGCGGTGGACCTCACGGGGAGGGGCCATCGATCTGGACGCCCGAGATGGGCACGGAAAGAATGGGTACGATGCCCAACAGCAGTTCCTGTTCATTCTGAACAGGATTCGCTGTTCACGCCGCCGCGGCCTGTGTCCATTCGAGACAGAAGGCCGCCTGCCCAACAGCGGCCGCTGTTGGTTTGGGACAACATTTGTTGTTGGGCATTGTACCCATTCTTTCGGTACCCATTTCGGGTGTCCAAAAACGAAGGGCTCGTTTTCTCATGATCGCGTCGTTTAAGAAAATCGGGACGGCACGTTTTCTCCCATATTCGGCCCCCGGGGGCCCTCGCCAGGCCCGGGACCGTCAAGGAAGGACCCAGGGTGAAAAGCCGGTCCCGGGGAAAAGGGTCGGGATTTCCAGGGACGCCGTCTTGAAAAAATCAGGGCGTCGCATGTCCCGGCTTGTTTTTCCTTCACCACCACTCTAAGTTGGAGGGGGGAAGGAGGTGGAGGAGAAGGAGGAGAAGGAGGAAGAGGAGGAGGAGGAGGACCCCGTCCCCCTCGTACTTATGCTGGTGGTGGTGGAAGACAAGCCCACCAGCCAAGTTGGCAGGGCCGCCTACGATCCGATTCGATGCGATGCGATTCGCTGGCTGGGGCCGCCATTTCACTCCGATGCGATCTGGCTCTGTTCACCGGCACCAGCCAGGGCCAGCCGGACGCGGGGTGCGGCGATTCGATACCGATCCGATTCGGGACGATTCGCTGGCGATTCGATCCGCTCTCGATCCGACCCGATCTCGCGACAGGGGCGACGACAGCTCCAAGGTCCAAGCCGTGGACCTGGGCTCCCACAGGCCCCGAGGCCCGCACCTCTGGCCTCCCAGGGGTGCGCCTGCCAGGTAGCTTCGGCAAGCAGAGGCAGGCCAAGCGTCAGGGGGTAGCGGCAGGTTCGGGGTCCAAGGTTTCCAGCCCTGGCATGCTCGCAGGCAGCTGCGCCTCGCCGAGAGCGATCAGGGGGTGCCCGGATCGTCCCGGACCGCCACCGGAGACCCGAGTCATGGCCCGAAGCGCAGTCGGGGCGGGACATGCTCAGGGGCAGTCGCACAAGGATCGCCGATGTAGGCCTGATAGCCCGCCCGGCCCAGGAGCCTGCGGATCCGTTGCCGGGTGCCCATCGGCGAGCTTTCGGTGATGCGTTGCCGAGCCAAGCTGTAAGTCGGGCGTGTCCCTCTACAGGGGGAATATTGAAAAACAGTCAAAAGATAATACGGGGATGATTTTTTTCTATTTTTGAATATCTGGAGGGTATGTTTTAAGACTTTTGTTTTTCGCCCAAAATCCCCCTGTGGGGGGACACGCCCGACTTCAGCCAAGCTGGATGCCCCCCCCCCCCCAGCTGCGCCGTTCCCCTCGAGGGGGGGGGGCAGGCCGTCGGCGAGGTCGAAGGTTTTGCCGAGGGTGTCGAGCGTTCTGCAGCGGTGCGCGGCCACGGCCGTGCCGCCGAAGCAGGGCCCCTTCTCGTTGGGGAGGTGCGGCAGTAGTTTCGGCCCATCCGGAACGGGACCCGATGCTCGGTGTCGTTTAACCGACTTCCATCCCCATCCCCATCCCCATCCCCTTCCCCACCAAAGTACCCCCCAGTTGCGGCCTATATCATCTAGGGGGGTAAATCGACCAGTTGGGCCCAGGCCACGCTGCTGGGGATGGGGATCGGATAAACGATGCTCAAAACAAAACACGCACAAACGCGAACCATGCACGGGGAATGGACGTCCGAGCCATGGCAAGGTTGGGTATTGGGTGTCGTCTCCATGTGGGCGACGCAGACAAATTGGGTCGTTTGCGCCGACATTGGCGCGTAAGGTCGCGCGTAAGCGCCTTCTTTTCCAAGTTAGAGTGCCGCGCTGGCGGCCCACGTGAGCCACCGCGTAAGGTCGCTACGTCATATCGCGCAAGACTCGTTTTTGATCGTCTCCATGGCTTCCGTCCGCGGTATCTCCAGGAGTGGAAAAAACACACAGCAATCGTCGATTCCCAGGAAAATAAAAAGGAAATTAGGGGAAGTGGGAGGGAAGACGAGAACCAAGAAATATGGGAAAATATAGGGAATCGTGTGATTTGTGCGTATCTATTTCTGTGTCCTGGGGCCCCTTCATCTCGGGCGTGCCCAGGGCAGACCTGGTGAGCACAGCTCGCGCATCCGCTGGGGCGCGAGGACGGCATCGCGCTTCGCGCGCCGCTGCCTGGGCCGGAGCGACCGCCAGGGGGCGGCGCGGGGGCGCGAAGATGCCCGCGCGCCGCGGGGCGCGATGCGCGGGAGTGGATGGCCTGGGACAGGGTGTAAGTCGGGGGTTGTCCCTCGACGGGGGGAAAATTCAAAAATAGTAAAGAAGTAGTCAGGGGACGATTTTTTCAACTATGGTTAAGCATTTGGGGATATTGTTTTGATTATTTTTGGCTTCCGCCCACAATCCGCCTGTAGGGGGACACCCCCGACTTCAGACAGGGTTCCTTTCGACGCCGCCGATTCGCGTCGATTCGATTTCGATGGCTTCCGCTTCCGATTCGATGCGGCTTCGGATTTCGATGTGGGTTCCGATTTCCACTGGAGGCCTGCTAACTTGCCGATTGCTACCGGTTCGACTTTTCCCGCCCATTTTCGCCGACCCGATTCATTTCGATCGCCGATCCGATTTATCATTTCGATTCTGGGGGCGCCTGCCTGGGGGCACCTGCAGACAAAAATGATTTGATGGATTGGGTTGGGTGGATTGGATTGGATTGGATGGGATAAGATGGTTTGGATCAGATAAGATGGGTTGGGATGGAAGAAAGGGATTAGATAAGATAACATGGATTGGATTGGCCTGCCGCAGAAGCATAAACAAATGAATTGATGGATTGGGTTGGGTGGATTGGATTGGGTGGGATAAGGTGGGGCAGTATTGGTTAGATAAGATGGATTGGATTGGACTAGATGGATTGGATAGGATAAGCTGTATTTGATAAGACAGCCCGCCGCAGGCGCCGAAACAAATGAATTATGAAATTCTAGACGCTTCGCGTATCCCCACCAGCCCGTCCAGAAACGACGCCCAGGCGAGTAGAGGGTCGTCCTGAGGGGCTTTTCGGCGTCTTGGGTGCCTCGGGGGGGCCTCTGTGGGCCGTTCGGAATCCTCTTTGGGGCCTCCTGGGGGCCTCTTGGGGCCTCTTGGGGGCCATCTTGGGGCCTCTGGGAGCACCTTGGGTGCCTCTGGGGGGCCTCTTGGGGCCTCTTGGGGGTCTCCTGGGGGCCTCCTGGGGGCCTCTTGGGGGCCTCTTGGGGCCATCTTGGGGCCATCCTGCGGCCTCTTGGGGCATCATGGGGGCCTCTTGCGGCCATCGTGGAGGAAATCGATCAAAGAAGAGGGGTTCCTTAATTAGAGCCCCCCCCCAGGAACTCCAAAAATCGCCTCCTGTACCGCTCTTGGAGCGCTCTTCGGCGCTCTTGGCGCCGTCATGGGGCTTTCTTGGGCCCTTCTTGGAGCTATCTTGAGCCATCTTGGAGCCATCTTGGCGCCTCGGATGTGCATCGCAAGCGAAAAAGTGAGAACACCACAAGCATTGATTTTCCCTAGGGTTTTGAAGCATTTTGGCCTCTTGGATGCATCCTAATGATGCTCTTGTGGGCACTTGGAACCGTCTTGGAGAGTTCTTGGAACGTCTTGGAACATCATGGGGACCATCTTGAGGCATCTTGCGCTATCTTGAGCCATCTTGGAGGGTATCTTGGGTTCCCTGAGGCCCTCTTGGCGCCGTCTTGGGCCAGTTTGGGCGCTCCAACGCGCCGCGGAACCCCCTGTCCAGGTCAGTGGGGAGGGGGTAACCCCTCCCCGAAGGGGAAGAGGGAGAGGTTGAAGAGGAAACGCTCTAAACCACCGACGCCCAGAGGGCTGGTGGGATTAGCGACATGCGTTAGCACTGGAACGCCCGGGACACCCGGGACACCTGGGACACCGCCCGGCCCAAGCGGGACACCTCCCAGCCACCGGCGGACGGGAAACGGACTTTCGCTCCTACTGACACCCAGGGCACCCGGGACACCGCCAGGCACAACCGGGACACCTCCCAGCCACCGGCGGACGGGAACGGACTTTCGCTCCTACTTCAGCCTAGCTACAGTAGGATCACGCGCAGTTTCGCTTCGCCCGCACGCACGACACGAACACGAAGCCGAGGATGACCATGAGGAGGACGAGGGGGAATGATTTTGCAACGTGTCGTAAATCGCTACATATATATATATATATATATATATATATATATACATACATTGGCGTTGCGGCTCAAACCGCCCAGCATGGGGAGACCCAGGAAAATCATGGGGCGGTGGAGAGCAAGACGTGCAAAGAGTACAACAAGACGCGGAACCTACGGCGCAAGCGCACGCGGATGGACGCCAAGCGCAAGGAGCTCTTCCCCGACTTCTACGGGTTCTACGAGACAGAGCTGAAGGTGAAAACTCTTTGGCGCCAGAAGGCCGCCGTATCCAAACACCCCCCACACAGGACACCGAGAACCGGACCCCTCAAACCCAGGCTGGGGGAAACATGAATCAACCAATTTTCCGCGCCCTCCGCACAGGCGCGCGACTGGGCCTTCAAGAACAAGGGCCTAGCCAGCGTCAACAAGGCCTTGCTACAGGCCGAGGCTGCCAAGCGCAAGCAGGTCGAGAAGAAACACAAGGCCAGCGGGGGACTGAGAGACCAACCGCGCAAACCCTTCCACCCTGTAGTTTTGGTTCGGCGAGTAGTGCTGCTTTGCGGCGCCTCTCGCCGCAACCGAAACTGACCGCGGGTGTTTGGGCGCGCTGTTGGCATGCCAGCGTTCGCCGGGAGCTTGACCTGGAACGCGACGGCCGCGCCCACGAGAGGTTCATGAGGGGCCGCGACGCGCAGCGCGAGAGAAAGCTGAACATAGACTTGAAGAACGACTACCAAGAGCTTCAGCGACAGAAACGGCCGGTGGAGGTCGAGCTGGAGATAACCAAGAAGGACGAGACGGAGCAGGTCTGGGGGAAAACAAAACAACCGACCCCCTTTGTTCAGCCTCGGCGCTCGGGGGCAAGGGGTGGCGCTGTCTGCCCGCGCGCCCAGGTCAACAGGCTCCTCCGCCAGCTGCGCTGGTGGGGGGCGCACTACCAGCACCTGAACCCGCGCGAGCCGCCGCTGCCCGACTGGCGCCGGGGCTAGCCGCCTAGCTCCTGCCAGGGGGAGAAAAGAAGGGCGGCGCGGAGGGGCGAGGGGGGGGGGGGGGCAGGGGGCAGGAGAGAGGCAGAGGAGTAGACAGATAATGATTTTTATGTGCGGGTCCAAGGGAGGAAAATGAGGGAACCAAAATGGGCCCCCACCTCCGCCCCCGGAAAACCCACATCTCAGTTGCACGTGATTCAATGCGACACCAGAAATGTGCACGGGGAACAATCGTACCGCATATGCCGGTGCTGCTGCTGGCGATGTTGCTGGCGGCGGCGCTGCTGCTGTCGGTCATGGCGCTGATGGCGCTGCTTTTGCTGTCTAGTACGACGCACAGTTCGACGCCATCAACCTAGCCGCATGTGCTCGAACGCAGGCGCGAGTCCATTCCCCGCCTCCAGCATGGCGTTCGAGTGCGCGTTCATCGGCAACTTCGCCTACGGCGGCGGCGCGCCGCCAGCCGCGGCCCGGCGCAAGGTCGGGCCCAACCAGTCATTGCGCTTGGCAGCTGGCGAGGGCGGGCGGGGGGGGAGGGGGGGGGGGGCAGGGCAACTGAGTTATTTCGGCCCTGCACCCGGGGCCGCTTCACCGCGTGCATCTGGCCTCGCCGCTGAGAGCACGCGAAGACTCTCGCGCACTTCGTCGCGGACGGGCTCCATTTCCACTTGCGGGCTACGTCGGACCCAGCCATGAACCCGATCATTGTCCGCCCGTACATGTGCCTCGAGGTTCGCGCAACGCTCATCGCCCGCAACGACCAGGCGCCTGCCCCGGCTGGATCAGTGCGCGATGTCTGGCGCGGCGCCGCCGATCGTTCCGATTGCCAGCGCCGACGCGAGCGATCATCTCGACGTGACCGAGCCGATCGATCCGATTTCGAGTTGTGAGTTCTGTGACCTTGCCGATCGCGATCTGTGGTCGAGCCGACCCATCCAGTTCCGAGCGGCGATTCCAGCGATCTGGCCGATGCGATCACGATCTGCGGTTGCGTCCAAGGCTCGCACGTGCTCCGTTCGTCTGACGCCTCCACGCATCAGTGGGTGGGCGATCGACAGGGAGGCGGGTTGGTCGACTACTTGGAGTTGGATGGAATGGCCCGTCCAGGCCGAGCTGGGCCCGCCGCCTCACCGCACCATCGTGTTCGAGGCGGAGGGCGAGCAGCCTTCGCACCGCCAGCGCGCGGGCCCCTCGCTCGGGCGTCGCGCCATGCGCCGCCGCTTCGGCTGAGGCGCGGGCTCGGCGCACGGCCCTCGGCGCTAGCGAGGGGCGCCACTGGTATTGCGATATGAACTTGATATTTGCGCATTCTCGACCGCCTGCGGAAATGTGAGCCGCGGGCAGCGGCTCGTTCGGGCCTTGTACCACTCGCCCCCCCCTCCCTCCCCCCCCCCTCCCGCTTCAGATTGCAGAATGCTGCCGGGGGCCGCTGCGGGCGCGATGCCCGACTTCCCTGTGCCGAAGAGGGGGATGCGCAGGGCGGCCAGCCAGGGCCGCTCGGTGAAGAAGGTGAAGAAGGCCATGCAGAAGACCGCAGACAGCCCCCCCCCCCCCCCCAAGCGCATTCCCTATGCGAGGCACGGGGTCCGCACTGCCGAATCTCGGAACGAGAGGGCGAAGTGGTGCGCGGGGCTGTCCGACTTCATGCACAGGGGGCAGAAGCACGTCGTTGACGCGCTCAAGAAGCACGGCCATTTGCCAGAGCGGGCGGGGGCAAGCTGCCCTCATTGCAACAAGGGCCCCCTCGGTAATCTCAGAGAGTGGTCTGACAAGCAGGGCGGATGGGGCCACAGGCGCAGCCGCAGAGGGTGCCACCGGCTGGTCTTGCCGCACGCGCCCCGCCCGATCTTCGCGGCGGGCACAGGGCAATCGCACGCGCCGCTGCGAGATCAGGCGCCCGCCTTTTTCTCGGCCGTTGCGGGGGCCTTGCAGGTGTGCATTGGGCGCCTCGTCGATAAGAATCACAAGATGGTCGAGGGCATTTACGGGCGCCTGTGCGCGACGAGGGACAGACGCGTCGAGGCGAAGGAGAAGACCATCAAGTTCAGCCAGGGCGAGGCCTGGAAGGACATCGAGGCCGACGAAGTGGACCTCGCGAGGAAGGTGTAGGACGGCGGACCCACCCCTGTCGACTGGGAGCAGCGGGGCGGGATCGTGGAGAGGGGCGTTCCAGACACGCTCGCGCCCTTCAGGCTGAAGCCCATGAAGACGAAGAAGAGGGCACCAGGCCCAGGGGCCACTCGCAAACGGGACTGGATGCCCGCGGCGAAGAAGTGGCTCAAAGGCCGCCGCGTCATTCTGCACACGGGCGGCGCCAGGAGTTACAGGATCAAGCTGGGCGGCGCGAAGCGCGACTACGTCGTCCACTGCCGCAAGCGCGTCAAGGTCAACGGGGAGTACACACGGGGCAAGGCCGAAGTACGCAAAGCCCCGCTTCCACAACATTGCCGAGGAGGAGGAGGAGGGGGGGGGGGAGGAAAAGATGGGGGAGGGGGAGGAGGAGGGGGGGGGAGGCAGCGAAAACGCAAGCTGGGCCACAGAGCGGGAGCGGGAGGCCCCAAGGCGCTCCAAAACGGCCCAGATGGCCCCAACGTGGCCCCAGATGGGCCCAACACGGCCACTACACAGCCCACGAGGCTTCCAAGAGGCTTCAGGAGAGCTCCGACAGGCGTCCCGAGATGGCCCGAAGAGGCCCACATCTGCATGTTTTTCGATTTCTCGCGTTCTCGAGATTCCAATGTTCGAAGACGACCGGAAACGCCCCCAAGACTACCCCAAAACCGCCGAAGAGGCCCCCCAAAGAACCCCAAGACGGCTCCAGAGAGCCTGCGAATTGCCCACGAGAAGCCCCAGGCGGCCAAAGAGGCCCCAGGGCGCTCGAAGACGGCCCAGATAGCCCGGGCCTCCCCCTTCCGTCCCTCCTTCCCTCCCGCCCCCTCCCCTTGCTTCCATTCCCTCCTCTCTCCTCGTCCTCCCTCGCCCCTCAGTTTTCGTTCTCTTCCCCCTCCTCCTGGGACGGCCCCGCCAAAGCGCCAGACAGGCCCCGCCAGAGCGAACGGGGCATCGCTTCACCCTATCATTTCACATGTTGTTTTGCCCTTCCCAACCCTCCAGGGCGGCCCTGGCAGATCGAGAGGGGTGTTGCTACACCATATACAGTCCTCGTTTTGTTTTGCTCCGCCCACCGTACCCGAGGCAACCTGGTCAGAGCGCACGGGGTGTGGGTATGCCTTAATTTTTCTCCGGTTTCGTGCTCCTCCCTCCCCTTTATGGCAAGCCCCGCCAAAGCGCCAGGGACCCCCCCGCCAGAGAGACCAGGGCATCACTACACCATAGTATTTCACGCGATTCTGGTTCCTCCCACCACCGTTGCAGGGCGGACCCGCCCGAGCGAACGGGGTGTGCTTACACCACACAATCTATCAGGTGTCGTGCCCCTCCCTCACATCCTGAGACGCTTCGCCAGAGCGCGAAAAAGGTACCGCCAGAGGCTTCGTCAGACTTCCAGGCGACCCCATACATGGGACTTCCCAGGCAAATCATTGAGCATCCCCCGTGAGCCCGAACCTTCTGCTCCCACGGGTGCGATTATCGTTTGCATGAGGTTTGGCGTCCAACACAAAGAACTATCCCTCTTTTCCTTGGACGGATTCGACAGCAACTGAGTGCGGAGAAGGGAACTGATGTCCGGGACATATGCGCGCGCCCCCTGTAGATACCCAGCAGCTGAAGGACATCTGAAAACGAGAAGCCCAGAGCACAAGGAAGAGTAACACAAGACAGCGCGCTCCCACGCGCGCGCAACGAGGCCCGAGCCAACCTCAACATCTGGAGCTGGCGGATGTCTGCGTGATCGGGTATGGGGAGACCGAACAAATGCGCAAACACATTGAGTGTCACGACAGAACAACGGAAGTGAAAGTGGAGGAAAATCGCATTTCGATAACCCAAACAAAAGCGACAGCGAGATTGTGAGATGCGCGGGAATGTTGCGCCCCGCGTTTTGGCTACGCCTTTCTTTGCGTCGATGGCATGGGCCCGAGAGCGCTGGAAATCGCCGTTGTGGCCACATCGGGGCTTACAACGGCACCCGTGGCTCATTTGCGACTCGACATAAGCGCGCGCGTGGTTCTAGTATATGTTTGTTTCTCTTTGTGCCTCTCTTTTTGTTTGTTGTTTCTCCCTCTCTCTCTCTTTCTCTTCTCTCTCTTTCTTTCTCTCTTTCTCTCTCTCTCTCTCTCTCTTTTTTCTTTCTCTCTCTCTCTCTCTCACTCTCTACATACATACATACATACATACATACATACATACATACAAACATACATACATACATACATACATACATACATACATACATACATACCTGCACATATACACAAATATACGTGTGTAAATCAAAAGCCCGGAACCCCATTTTTTCGCGCTGCCGTTCGAGGCACACCGATCCGTGAGAGCCTTGCGGCACGAAACCGGGCGCCAACGCCCAAGCCGAATAATCGAGACGCCGGGATTTCGGTGCAGGTCGGAGACTTGGGCAATCTCCGCTATGCGTAAGAGTGACTGTTCGCTGGAGTGATTTTTGGTGCGGGTATACTCTAGGGTCCCCATTGGAGACTTGGGCAATATCCGTTCTGTGTAAGAGAGACGTTTCGCCGGAGTGACCTTTGGTGCGGGTATACACTAGGGTCCCCATAGGGCTGAAAACGCCCAACACGAATAATCGAGACGCCAGGATTTCAGTGCAGGTTGGAGACTTGGGCAATATCCGCTATGCGTAAGAGTGACTGTTCGCCGGAGTGATTCTTGGTGCGGGTATACACTAGGGTCCCCAGATGGCTGAATGCGATACGATAGCAGCGGCTTGCGCCTTCCGATTCGGCTTCCCCGCACCAAAGAGTGCTCTTGCCCAGGACCACTCTTGCCTGCAGCCGGTGACGTGCTCATTCCCTGCCCTTGCCCTCCTTCAAGCAGTGGCGACGAGTCCCGGCTTGCCTCTAGGCTCTAAGCCCACCAGTTAAGAATGTCCGCAGAACTTTCAGTGGCTTGCACGAGCTATTCTCAGAGCCTTTCTGGCTGAGCGCGCCCTGTCCTGACGCGCCGGGCGTCCGTTCTGAGACCACTGCTGCTGTTCGTTGAACCACTTGCTGGGTCGAGCCACAGGACTGCCCAGGCGGGCGGTCCCTGCTCCGCTCCTGCCCGCCCGAGGACACGGCCCCCGCGACCCCGGCCAGGCGGCTGGGCGCCTGGCTGCGCCGGGGCGTGCCGCTGCTCCTGTGCGCGCAGCCGCCCCCGGGTGCCACTTCGCGCTCGCCGGAGGCCGTCGTGCGCCTCGTCGCCCGGGACCGGCCCGGGCACGACGGTGGCGCGCGCCGGAGCACGGTCGCCAGGGGCAGCTCGAGAGCCCAGAGATCCAACGCATTGAAAATGTCGAGACGGAGGTTTTTCCAAATTTTCTGCTTCTAGAGGCCTTCGCCGGGCCCCGGGACCGTCCAAAAACGACTCAGGATGAAAAACCGGCCTTGGGGAGTGGGTCGACACTTCCGGGGACACAGCATTGGAAAAAACATGGCATCGGATTTCCGGGACCCTTGAGACGGGGGTCAATCCAGACGGGGGTCAGCCAGAGCGCCGGCTCTTGCAGGATCCTGAAGGGCCAGGGGCGCACTGACCCGGGTCAGGGTGCAGGATCCTCCAGGGTCTTGCAGGATGTTGCAGGATATTGCAAGGCTTAACTCGGGCGTGTCCTCCTACAGGAGGGTTTTCCACGAGAAATAAAAAAAATACACCACAGATACACCTAAAAGGTCAGAAAAAAAAACAACAACAAACAAAAAAAAAAACAAAAAAAAAAACCTAACTATGTTTGACATATGTTTAAATTATTGTTGGGGTATTTTTATTTTTCATCGAAAATCCCCCTGTAGGGGGATACGCCCGACATCGTGCAAGGCCCGACTGGGCCGGGTTTGGACCGATCCGGGTTCGAGCGTCCTCGAGCAGCGCCCGAGTGCTTCGGGGTTCTCGGGCGGGTGGCAGCGTGGGGTGAGCCAGAGGGGCCCATGAGGGCCCGAAGGGAACCCTAAAGGGCCCCATCGGAGGCCCGAAAGGAACTCTAAAGGGCCCCTCGAAGGCCCCTGCTGGGCCCCACGGGAGGGGAGAAGGGCCCCGAAGGAGCCCCGAAAAGGGCCCCGAAGAGGCATCTTTCGGGTCCCTGTCGAGCCCCTGCTGGCTCCCAAAGAGGCCCCACAGGGGCACCTCTGGGGCCCTGTTCCTCACCCTCCATGGAGGCCACCCAACCACCCGCCCGAGCGACTCGGGCTCGCGGTTCGCTCTCTGGGCGTTTTCGGGTCGTCCCTGGGCGCTCTCGTGGCTGTGGCTGGATCCACCCTGAGGTCCTGGCCAAGACGCATCTCAGGAGCTGGGGCATGGAGACGCCCAGACTTCTGACGATGTGACCGCATGCCGCATGCCCCAGATGACAAAGCGTTCCCCCCCTCCCACGATCCTCATGATTATCCCCGGCGAAGACAGTCTTAGTTAGCGGTGGGGAGCGGTGGGGCCGAACTTCATTATCGCCGGGCGAAGTACGCATCGCAGATCGAATGCTCCTCCCCCTGCTCCTCCTCCTCCTCCTCCTCCTCCTCCTCCTTTTTGTTGCGACCTGCCCGAAAAAGTTCATCATCCCGCCCGAGCCCCGATCCTTTTGTCCCCACCCTGTGGGTTTCGACCTGGCAGTTTCTCCTCGATGCTAGGCCCTGCAGGGCCCCTTCTCGGGCCCCAGGGCCATCAACAGTGGCCTGGAGCAGAGGAGGCTGGTCTTGGGAAAGGCGTCGGGGCCTCTGGCGCCGCGGATTGAACAACTCACCTCCTCGGCGGACGTCGGGGCTCGAGGCTCGAGGCTCTCGACGGTGCTCGGTGGCTTCCTGGCTTCGAGTCGTGCGTGCCTCTGTACAGAGGGAATGCCCCCCAAATAGTCCAACAACGGTTTCGGGGCGATGCGTTGCCTAGGTTTGATTATGTTTTTGAGTATCTTGTGACTGCTCTCGTTTGTCTTCCGGAATCCGCCTGTAGGAAGACATGCGAAGCCTATCTCCAGGCTTCGGGATGCTGTCCAGCAGGCGCGCCTCGCCGAGCTGTTGCTCCTGGGGGGGGCCCGGATCGCCCCGCACGGCGGGCGGAGCGCCGCGCTGCGGCCCGCAGACCCGACGGCGAGGACCATTGGTGATTGGCCCCCCTTGGAGCCCTCTTTGGGCCATCCTCCTCCTCCTCCTCCTCCTCCTCCTCCTCCTCCTCCTCCTCCTCCTCCTCCTCCTCCTCCTCCTCCTCCTCCTCCTCATCCTCCCCCTCCTCCTCCGGACAGGGCGGGATGGCACGAGCTTCTCGGCCCCGCTGCCGGGCGCCCCTTTCTCGACACGGTGGCGCCTCCCGGCGCTGGGAGGCGCCGGGAGGAGCAGGAGGAGGAGGAGGAGGAGGAGGAGCATCGACTAGGTATGCAAGTCGCCTCCCGAGCCCTCCCTTTACCGAGGGCCGCAAGGGCTCGGACTCGTGCGCGGCCCGCGGCTCGCGACGCCTCCCTCCTCGTCCGCCTCCTCGTCCCCCCCCCCTCCGCCCCAAGGGGGGGGCGCGAGAGCGCGAAGCTGCTCGGGCCTCGCGCCACACGAGGCGCGACCACGGCTGCCCTGTGGTTCCTGGCCCCCCCCCCTTCTCGGAGGGAGGAGAAGCGACACCAACACCACCAGGGGGGCCACCTCCAGCCAAGAGGTCTCCTCCTCCTCCTCCTCCTCCTCCTCCTCCTCCTCCTCCTCCTCCTCCTTGTCTCGAGCGAGAGGGGGGACTGCCTCCTCGCATCTCCTCGCCGTGGTGGTGCTGGTGTCGCCTTCTCTCGTTCCTTTCGCCCGGCCCCTTCCGAGGATCCGAAGAGCGCCTGCGGCGACGCACCGCCGCCGCGCGCGGGGTGAGGGCGTCGCGGTCGCCCTCGTCCTCCTCGTCCTCGTCCTCCTCGTCCTCCTCGTCCTCCTCGCCCTGCTCGTCCTGCCCGTCCTCGCCCTCCTCGTCCTCGTCCTCCTTGTCATCGCATGCCCTGGTGGTGTCGGTGTCGCCTCTCCTGGTCCCCCCCCCGTCTCGCCCAAGGTCGGGGAAGCGGCCGCCGCGGTGCGGCGCGAGCTCACGGCGCTGCACGGCCGCCTGCTGGACGCCCACGCGGCAGCGACCCTGTGACACCCTCCCGCCCGTGAAAAAAAAATCGGGGGGAGGGAGGGCGAGGGCGAAGCGAACGAAAACGAGCATTAGGTTGGGCATGTCTCTGCACATGAGGAATACGGTAGGTTTGCGTTGTGTCGACCAGCGGCGACCCCAGCGCGGGCGTTCAAGGTTGAACGCCGCTGGCGACCCAGAATCGATCGACGTTGAACGATCGGACGTTGCGGCAGCGGCCGATCGTTCAAGGTTGAACGATCCTTGCGGTGTCAAAAACCAACGCTGGGGTCGACACGACACAAACCTGCCGTACCCAGAAATAGTCAAAACAATAATATTGGGACGATGTTAATACTATATTTGATCATTGTTGAAAACGTTTGACAATGTTTCGTTGTTCTTCCAAAATCCGCCTGTAGGAGGACATGCCCGACCTAAATCGAGGACCGTGAGACTGAGTCGGTGTCAATCTTGGGCAGCGGCACCGTTCACCATGGTCATCGGTCAATGCGCGGGTCATCCTCGCGAGTCGGTTACGGCCGGCATGGGCCGTGACCGCGACCGGCGGGCGTCGACAATATCTTGCGACATGTTGGTCATGTTTATCGTGTGTCTTCCTTTTTTCTTTCCTTCCTTCCTTCCTTCGAGAGAGAGAGAGAGAGAGAGCGAGAGAGAGCGCGAGCGGTTCGGTTCACGAGCTCCAGTCTCCCCCCCCCGAGAAACAATGGCAGGGCACCACATTCCGAGACCTGCTCCCCACGCACACCAACCCTACCCTTCCCTCTCTCCCCCCTTTCAATGGACTGGGAGAGGGAGAGGCACGACCCACTTCACCCTCCGTGCAAGGGGGGAACAGTGTTAGGGGTTACGGCCCCCCCCCCTGCTTTCAACGACGACGAAGATAGAGACGACGACGACACAGGCTAGATATGAAAGCCAGAAGGCGGGTCATTAAATCGGGCGGGTCAGCCAGGCGGGACGTTTATGCGGGCGGGCGGGACAGTACATGCAAATTTCGTTGGTTAGCGGGGCACGGCTGCGGGAAATGCACGACGTAATGTAAATTACAACGGCCATGACGGACCTGACACTCAAGCGTGTTTGCGGGCCGAGCATTGACTGTACATGTCACCAGGTGTCGAGAGGATGACAGACACGATTGAACGAAGCAAAGGAACCGACGACGTCGACGGGCGGGCGGATCATTATTGCGGGCGGGCGGAACATGAAAGTAAAATGTCGTTCATCGACGGGGCAACGCTGTTGGAAAATAAAATGAAAATTAAGGAAATGAAAACGACTACGACGTCGAAGGGCGGGGGGGACATCATAGCGGGCGGGCGGGCAGTACATTAAATGTAGCGTCTGGTTCGTTGGTGGGCAATGTTTTGGAACATAAGCGAAAACAGAACACGAAGGAAAACGATGACGACGACGGCAGGCAAGACATCACAGCGGGGGACATCAAGTGTGATCCTCAACCGAGGGTGAGGCGTCGCCGTCGTCGCCGTCGCCGTCGCCGTCGTCGCTGTCGTCGTCGTCGTCGTCGCTGTCGTCGCTGTCGTCGTCGTCGTCGTCGTCGTCGTCGTCGTCGTCGTCGTCGCTGTCGTCGTCGTCTATATGTATATATATATATATACATATATATATATATATATCTATCTATCTATCTATCTATCTATCTATCTATCTATCTATCTATCTATCTATCTATCTATCTTCGTCGTCGTCGTTACCGGGCGGGGGGGGGGCGGGGGGCGCGTCGTTGTCGTTGGCCCCCGCGCTCCGTCGCCCCCGACCTCCAGCAGCTTCTCCCTCCCCTGCCCCCCCCCCCCCCCCGCCCGCGGCAGGCCAGCTCGAGGAGCCGATGCGCCTCCGCCCGCCGGACCCCTCCGCGCGCGGGGGGGCCGCGGGGCGGCCCGGGGCCCCCGCCGGGCCGCCGCCGCGGCGGAGGCGGGCGGCCGGGCGCGCCCGCGCCTCCAGCGCGCCCCTGCGCGGCCCCGGGCGGAGCCTCGCAGGTCAGGAGCGAATGAATCCACGCAGGTTTCGAGAGCACGCATTGCACAAATGGTCGTATCACGCGGCCGGTCTCGCGAATCAGGGGGCCGTGCTCATGTACATAGCTGGGCGCGTACGTCCTTTGTGGGCTCCCTAGCAGGGTGCTCCGGAGAGGCCTCCCGCGGGGAGGGTCGGGCGGGGCGAGAGGGGGGGATTGGGAAAGGGGGGGTTGAAAACGACGCGAAGATCGGGGCAAAATCGGATCGGGAGAACTCGAAATCTCTGAGAATCGGCGGGTTTGGAGGATGCATTGGGCGCCGCGGCCGCTCCAGAGCGTTCCGGAACGCTCTGAGAGCGCTCCGGAACGCTCTGGAGGCCTCCCGGGGAGGGTCGGGCGGGGCGAAAGTCGGGGGTGGACAGAACCCTCAACAGTGACACGTCGATTAGTGGATTGTCCGTTTTCGGTTCTCGAGAGGGCGCCGTGGCCGTCATCTTCCAGGCTTGCGCCCGCCAGGTTTGGGGCCTCAGGTCGTTTTCACTAAACCACGTTTTCCTAAAGGGGGGTCTGTCCATCCCCGAGAAAGGGGGGATTGGGAAAGGGGGGGTCACGAAATCTGCTGCACGCAGCTGGTTTCGGCCCCACCGAGGGGCCCATTCCTCGATACGTAGTCGCCTCCGGCGCCGGGAGGCGCCGGGAAAATCAGCTACGCGAGCTGATTCTCAAACCCCCCCTTTGCTATCCCCCCTTTCGCCCGACCCGAGAGGGGCGGGAGGTCCTCCTCGGCCCCAGAGGAGGTCCTCCCGGTCCTCCCCGGGGGGGGGCGCTGGAGCACTCTGGAGGTCCTCCCGCGCCCGGCACGCCTCCCAGGCCCCCCAGGGAGGTCTTCCCGGGGAGGAGGCCGAGGGAGCCGGAGGAGGTTGGCTCAAGCCCTCGTGCTGAAGCCGCCAGCCGCCAGGAGCCCCGTCCGCCCCGTCTCCTCGGTCCCTTCCCCGTCCGCACTCGGCGGCGAGCGAGGGGGGGAAAAGAAGGAGAAGGCCTTCTCGGGAGGCGGCGGGACTTCTCAGAAGCCCTCGCGCCTTTGAAAGATTTCTTGCGTCTTCGGGGAAGGCCTAGAAGTCTTCTCAGAAGGCTGGGGGGTGTCGAGCCTTCTGAGAGGGCCCGCCCCTTCTCACTCCTCCCCCTCGCTCGCCGCCGAGGGGCGGCCTGTGAGACAACTCGGCAGTCGCGTGTCGGCCACGCGCAGAACTCCGAGCTTCAGAAGTCGCAAGAGGAAAAGGAGCCCAGTTACCGCTGCCCTTGCCTCGTTTTTGCCTTGGTGGGCCTCCTGGCAAGCCCTCGCCGCCACCACTGGATTCGCCTCGAGATTCTGGTCAGAACGCACCCCGGGAGAGGCCCGGGGAGTACGGTGGAGACCCGTGCCAAGAAACACCCTGCTTGCCTCAAGGGTGCCCTGGGTTTCATGGGTTTCGATTGTCTTGCCACGGAAAGCGCGACGTGCCCACACCAAAAATCGATGGGCGTCCTGGGGTCGCAGGGTTGGGTTATTTGTGGAAGGTCTTTTGTTCGGGGGTGGACAGAACCCCCAACAGTGACACGTCGATTAGTGAATTGTCCGTTTCCGGTTTTCGGGAGGGCGCCGTGGCCGTTATCTTCCAGGCTTGCGCCCGCCAGGTTTGGGCCTCAGGTCGTTTCCACTAGACCACGTTTTGCTAAAGGGGGGTCTGTCCATCCCCGATTTGTGGACTGGCCTCCACGGTATGACGCAGCATCCTCTACAGCCAGTGCAGGGTGCCCCGGGCGGCAGCACTCGACCAGGCAGACCTGGCGCATGTCCAGTGTCAGACGTGCCCTCCCCCTGTCATCGGCCACGCGCAGGGGGGCAGCGGGGGGGGGGGAAGGCTTCTCAGAAGGAGGCTGCTTCTCAGGAGGCGCCGGCCTTATCTATAGATTCGGGGGCGGACAGAACCCCCAACAGTGACACGTCGATTAGTGAATTGTCCGTTTTCGGTTCTCGAGAGGGCGCCGTGGCCGCTATTTTCCAGGCTTGCGCCCGCCAGGTTTGGGCCTCAGGTCGTTTCCACTAGACCACGTTTTCCTAAAGGGGGGTCTGTCCATCCCCGATTTGTGGACTGGCCTCCAGGGTATGACACGCCATCCTCTACAGCCAGTGCAGGGTGCCGGGCGGCCGCACTCGACCAGGCAGACCTGGCGCGTGTCCAGCGTCAGACGCGCCCTCCCCCTGTCATCGGCCACGCGCAGGGGGGCAGCGGGGGGGGGGGAAAGGCTTCTCAGAAGGAGGCTGCTTCTCGGGAGGCGCGGGCCTTCTCTATAGATTCGGGGGCGGACAGAACCCCCAACAGTGACACGTCGATTAGTGAATCGTCCGTTTTCGGTTCTCGAGAGGGCGCCGTGGCCGCTATTTTCCAGGCTTGCGCCCGCCAGGTTTGGGCCTCAGGTCGTTTTCACTAGACCACGTTTTGCTAAAGGGGGGTCTGTCCATCCCCGATAGGTGTGAGGCCGGTGCCCTCCGAGGAGCAGCCTGCACTGTGCACAAAATTGGGGAGCGGTGAGATCCAGTCGCGCCGCGAGCAGGCTGCTGGCGCTGCTCGTGTGGCGGGGTTGCCGAGTTTCACATGCTCTACTCAGACTTGCTCCTGCTCATCGGGAGGGGCTGAGGCCAGAGGGAGCGCCGCCAGACGGCTACGATTGGAGTTGTTCCAACTGGACTGAGCGTCGCCCGACAGGGGCTATGGCCAGTCGGTGTTCAGACCAGATGGAGCCCTTTGCTCCGACTCGACTTGCTCCAACTGGATCTAGCGTCGCCCCACTTGAGGCCCGGGCCAAGTCGTAAATTGCGGTATTCCATCTGGACATTTGGATTGCTTATTTCGTGGGGAGGTCCTTGTCCGGCTTCCTTTCCGCTGAGCGGTTCTGGATGCACAGCTTTTCCGGCCTCGCGTTGCCTCTGGTGGCTCCGGCCATCCCTGGAGCTTCACTGACAGCCTCTTTCTGAGCCACGCTTCAGCCCGCCGCTCTCGACTGCAAATGGAGGTGTATGCGTGTCTGCATGTGTGCATACTTGAAGCTTGACGACATGAGGGTGCAGTATTGCGTGTGCGTCCCGCTGGTGCACGCGCGGCCGCGTTTCATCCCGCCGCGTTGTGAATGTTGGAGGGATGATGTGGTAGGAGGGATGATGTGGTGATGGATGAGCACCCTCCCTTGTTCTCCTCCACGCTCCTTTCCACTGCCCTCCCCTCCTCTCCCCTCGCATTTTTTGTTCTGCCCGAAACGCATCCTTATCAAGGATTCTCTCAGTTTCTCAGGGCCCAGATCTCTAGAGTTGCCATCGCCTTGGCTTGCCGATCTTGAGGACAGGGATGAGCTCAAGGCTGGTCATCATCCTCTGCGCACTGCCCCTCGCAATCCTCTTGTTGAGCAGCCCCTGGCCGGTGGAGGATGTCCATGCAGGTGATGTCCCCGATGAACAATTTTTTCCCGCAGCCCCAGATGGGCAACGGTGGCCAGAGGGCGCCCCGCCTCGCGGGGAAGGGCTGGAGGAAAAGGGGAAGAATGAGGAGCAAGACTAGGATGATGATGATGATGATGATGATGATGATGATGATGATGATGATGATGATGTTGATGGTGCTGGTGCTGGTGCTGATGATGATGATGATGATGATGATGATGATGATGATGATGATGATGTTGCTGATGCTGGTGCTGGTGCTGGTGCTGATGCTGCTGATGATGGTGGTGATGGTGATGATGAAGGTGATGATGGCGATGATGATGATGATGATGATGATGATGATGATGATGATGATGATGATGATGATGATGATGATGATGATGATGATGATGATGATGATGATGGTGTGGTGTGGTGGTGTGGTGTGGTGGTGGTGATGATGATGATGATGATGATGGTGATGGTGATGATGATGATTGATGATGATGATGATGATGATGATGATGATGCTGATGATGATGTGGTGGTGGTGATCGGTGGTGGTGGTGGTGGCGGTGGTGTGAGGAGGAGGAGGAGAGGAGGAGGAGGAGGGGAGGGGAGGAGGAGAGGAGAAGGAGGAGGAGACGTATGAGTATGACCATGTGACAAAGTCAGAGGAGGAGGAGGAGGGGAGGAGGAGGAGGATGGGAGGGCGCCGTTGAGGGAAGGGATAGTGGAGGTGTAGGGGGAGGAGGAGCAGGAGGAGAAGGAGGAGGAGGAATAGGAGGAGGTGGAAGAGGAGGAGGAGGAGGAAGAGGAGGAGGAGGCGGAGGCGGAGGAGGAGGAGGAGGAGGAGGAGGAACAGGAGGTGGAAGAGAAGGAACAGGGGCAAAAGAGGGAAGAGGGGATGGCGGGATGGAGTGAGGAGGAGGAGGTGGGAAGGAGGAGGAGGAGGAGGAACAATCTGCTGACGCTTCAGCGGCTGGACCGCTCTGAGCTCGACCAAGAAAAAAAAAATATAAAAAAAAAAAAAAAAAAAAAAAAAAAAAAAAAAAAAATCTGCCACCTTGGGTCCTGGGAGCTCCCGGCGAAGGAGCGCGTGTTCTTGATGGAAGTTAGCGTGTCCATGTCTCGACCGTGCTCGCCGGTCGCTGAAAGGCTGTCTTTCTGGATTCCCAGATCCCAATCCACTCTGGGCGCCTTTGTACTTTAGCGATCGAGCGCTCTTCCTTCTTCCCTCCTCGTCAGGGGGCGCAGTCTATGGTTTCAGCGCCTTCCTACTTCATGTTTCAACCCACTTCCGACCGTCGGGCCTGCTCCTCCTCCTCCTCCTCCTCCTCCTCCTCCTCCTCCTCCTGCTCCTGCTCCTGCTCCTGCTCATCCTCCTCTTTCATCCTCCCCCTCCTCGGGGGCGGTCGAGATCAACCCTGCCCGCCTCGTCGTTCGTCTAATGCTCCGCGGGGAGCTCCGACCAGCAGTTGCTCGCGCCCGACGTCCGTCGGGTGCCGCAGATCGGCGGAGGGCCGTTTGAAGCACGGGAAGCTGGCCTTCGGGGGGGCCCTTCGTCGCCACGGCTGGACGCAGCACGGAAAACGGGTGCGTTTGGACCTTTGAGATGGGTCCCGCCGGGGGCCGAGGTCTTGAAGTCCCAGCGTCTCAAACCGCCCTGCTTCGATCAGAAGTCTGTGCCGGCAGTCCTTTTCAACGCAAGACGCGCACCCGTGGATGAGCAGCACCTCGTGCGCTGGCCATTCAGGCGAGGACCCCGTTGTGAAAGAGAGGTGCCGTGAATGCGTTTAGCGCATAATCCTACAGTTCGACGTGGTGCCAAACGAAATCCCGGATTGGTGTTGGCCAGCTTGGATCCCAAAAAAGTGAGGTATTGCATTGTGGAGTCTATGCGGTGTAAACTATGTTGTGAGACCTATGTCGTGTAAGCCATATGACTTGTGTTCTGCATGTGAAGCCAATGCGGTGCAGGCTGTGCTGTGTAAGATATGTCGTGCGGTCTACGCGATGTAGAGGAGATGGTCCAAGCTATGCTGGGTAAGCTGCGTTGGCGGTGGACGCGCAGTGGTATGTGGTGCAAGCTCAACGCACGGGACGCCCACGACCTCCCACGAGGCGGCATTGGCGGCAACGTTGCGAATCATCGACGAACCAACCCAGCGGACAGGGCACGCACGAGGCGCCCACGAAGCAGCACGTGCGGCAACGTGGCGAATCCTCCTGGAGCGGCGCTGAGGCGAGGCTCCCATTCGAGAACGCCCCCCCTTCCGTCCTTGAAGCTGCTGCAGGCGTTCGAGATGGATGCGCGCGGCCACTGTGCAGGTGAAAGCTATGCGGTGGGAGGTAATATGTAGTGTGAGCTGCGGAGGTGGAAGCCGTGCGGTGCAGGCTTGGTGGTGCAGACTCTGTCATGCAAGCCGTGCGGCGTGGGCCAGAGGTGAGAGCTATGTGGTGTGTAAGCGTATGGTGTAAGCCATTTCATGTGGGCTATGCAGCGCAGGCTGTGTGGTGGAAGCTGGGCAGTGCAACCAATGCCGCGGAAAATGAAAGAGCAAGAGCGCGGGAATTTTTCTCCTCCTCCTCCTCGTCCTCCTCCTCCTCCTCCTCCTCCTCCTCCTCCTCCTCCTCCTCCTCCTCCTCCTCCTCCTCCTCCTCCTCCTCCTCCCCCTCGTGAGAACTCTGTGGCGCAACCTATGTGGTGCAAGAACCTCAGCGCGCCGGGCGCCCACAACAAGCCCCCACGAGGCGGCACGGGCGGCCACGTGCCGAGCCCCCGGGAAAAACCCACCAAAGAGCACGGGGCGCCCACGGGGCGCATTTGTGCAGGTGAGAGAGTTATGCGGTGAAATCTGTATGGTGGAACTTATGTGGTAAAAGTTACATGGTGTGAGCCATCGGCTCTGCGGGCAATGTGACGAGCCCCCGGGGAAACCCGCCAAGAGCACGGGGCGCCCACGGGGCGCGCATTTGTGTCGGTGAGAGTTCTTGGCACCGCTCGGGCGTGTGCATGTTTCCTTCGGCGAGGGCCATCGAGGAGCATCCTTGATCCTTTGGCGAAGAAAACACGCACGAGCGTAAACACAGGGAATGGACGTCCGAGCGATGGCCAGAGTCATGCGGTGAAATCTGCATGGTGGAATTTGTGTGGTGGAAGTTGCATGGTGTGAGCCGTCGGCTCTGCGGGCGAGGGCGTACCCTTCAGCACGTACTGCTCATTGCGTTTTCGTCGTGCCCTCGGCGAGCTTCCGCCCATCGCGCCTCTTCCCAGGAGCACGTCTCCGGCCACGTCGGCAAGCCCCTCCCGTCGCCTTGGGGCGGCATCGCGGGGACGTGCCAGTTGTCTCGTGGAGCTCCGAGGCCTTCTTCGCAGTCGAACCTGGCCGCCAGGAGATCGAGTGCGCGCACGTGCTGTCCCTCCCGATCCGCGCACGGGTGGTCACGGCCACGGAGGCCCATGGGGCGGAGGGGGCCCGTCAGGCGTGGCCCCCACCCCGCAGGCACGACGGGTTGGTGGGCTGTCGGCGCCGCCTCACCGCGCCGGCACCGGCCTCGTTATGGAAGGAGACCTGGCTGCAGGAATCAGGCCGCCAGCTCGTGTGGAAGGTCATCCTGCCAGGGAGGGCTGCCAAGCTGGAGCTCCGCGGCCCAGAAGGAGCACTGGACCTGCGAGTGACGTGCTTCCGACCGGCGCCGACCTCGCGGGCGGAGCGGGAGCAGGCTTCCCCTCTCGGGACCTCCGCGGCTGCCCCTGCTCTCGCCTGGCACGCGCGGGGTCGTTCCTCGCCAACCGGCGCTTGCCATCCTGGGGGGGGACTCCAGCTGCGTCACGGATGCCTTCGACCGCGTCGCGACCGGTTTGGCACGCTCCACGGGAGGGCGCGACAAGCATGAATGAACACGTGTCCAGCGAGTCGTTGGTTCCGGCCTCGTCGAGATACACCAGCCAGCACCCACCAATGCTTCGGCATCCTGGAGGGTGAGATTGGATAGGGGATAGATGTGCCATGACGTCACGGACCAAATCGACAGGCATCTGCGCGCGGTCGCCTTCGAATGGACACCTGGGCTGATGAGCTTGTTTTCCACCACCACCACCACAAGTTGGAGGGGGGAAGGACGAGGAGGAGGAGGAGGAGGAGGAGGAGGACGAGGAGGAGGAGGAGGAGGAGGAGGAGGAGGAGGAGGAGGAGGACCCCCCCCTGCAACTTATGGTGGTGGTGGTGGAAAACACGCCCATCATGGGCTGTCCGCTCACCGCCCCGTCCTCGTGTCTCGCACCGCCCCGCAGCGGCGCACCGAGGACGCGCGCCGCGTCCCTAACTGCGTCGTGCAGCATCCCGACGTCACGCAACGCGTCGCGCTCGAGTTCGAGGACCGCCTCGCTGCCTCCACCCCCCCTCCAGGGCTCGCCACACTCCAGATGTTCCAGGAGGCAGTGAAACAGGTCGCCCGCCGCATCGCCGCCGACCACGCCACCCCGCCGTCGGCGGAGTCCCGCGAGGACAGGCTGGGCACCCCCGTGAAGCTCATCCGCTCCATCGGGTGCAGGTTGCCGGGCGAGGTCTCGAAGTGTCTCGCCCGCGGTCCGTCCCTTCCGCGACCTCATCCACGGGCCCGATGACATCTCCAACAGCTTGCCCGTTCGCCTCCGAGCCTTCCTGGCCGTTGATGGGCCGAGGAGGCCGCGACGTGGCGAGAACTCGGAGAGGCCCTCCAGCTTCCCGAGACGGCCGAGGTAACAAAAACAGGGCCCAAGCTGATCGGTGCGTTGGAGTGTCGGAGACCTCGTGGGCCGTTCTCGCGCTGATCTCGTGCCGCAGCGCAGGCGGAACGAAGGCACAGCGAAGGGTACCGAACACAGAACGGAGACGGAGAGCACGGTTTGGCTCGAGCCCCGGCAAGATTCCGAATTGCAAGCGCTGCTCGGGGACATCGGGGTTGGAGGGCGAGGGCGGGCGCGCGGGCGGCGCAGACCTCGCCCGTTGCTCGACGAGCTCGGCATCGCTCGGGCGGTTGCTTCTGTTCTTGGCGAGGGCCATCGAAGAGCACCTCGGAGCACCTGCGGAGCCATGCGCGCACGAAGCCCACAAGTGCAAGGGCACTGGACGCCCGAGCGATGGCAAGCGAGGAGGAGGAGGAGGCGGAGGAGGAGGCGGAGGAGGCGGAGGAGGCGGAGGAGGAGGAGGAGGAGGAGGAGGAGGAGGAGGAGGAGAAGAAGAAGAAGAAGGAGGGCAGGAGGAGGAGGAGGAGGAGGAGGAGGAGGAGGAGGCGGCGGAGAGGAGCAGGAGGGGGAGGGGGGCAGGGGGAGAATGACGATGGGGGTGATAACGGAAGGGGAAAGAGCACGTGGAGGAGCAGGAGGAGGACGAGGCCGTACTCCTTCTCGGGGCACGAGGCTCCCGCGGCCCAAGGCCCTTCGTCGTCTGAGAGGTCTTTCCCGCTCGGCCAAAGCCGCGGCTGGCGGGAAGAGCTTCGAGGAGCACCACCTGTTTCCAGTGCCCTGATATCAAGTCGGGCATGTCCTGATATTCAAAAATAGTCAAACATAGGATGGGGGACGTTTTTTTAACTATGTTTGAGTACGTGTGGACTTTTTTATGTTTCGTCCACAATCCGCCTGTAGAAGGACATGCACGACCTAAACCTGAGATCCGAGGACCTGATGTATTCAATCCGTCCCCTTGTTCATCGGATGCGGCCCGCCGGCGCCTTCGTGGGGCCCGGGGCCAGGCCAAAGGGGATCCGCAGCGACAATATATATATATATATATATATATATATACATATACATACCCCCAGGGAAAAGGTCGGGAGCACTGCGGCCGCGCAGGCCACAAAAACAAGTCGCCGATTGACTGAGTGCTGCAGCCGACAGAGACGCTCCTCAAATTCACCGCCCGGCCGAGGGGCGCGGTGAAGATTCGAGCTTCCATTGGCGACGTCACGGTCACCGGCACACACTTGCAAGAGTTCCCGCAGGTTTGGTCGGGATCGAGACTTCGAGCAGGCCTTCGGCCAAGGCCCACAGGCAATTTGTCGAGTTCTTGCCCCGAGATGGTGCGCAGCTTTGGCTTCTACATGGCATGCCTGGCGAGTGGCGTTTAGGTTTACCACACAGGATTCAGAGGCGTAGGTTGCCCCCACGCCCAACTTGCTCATCGCGTCTTCCTTCCCATCCCCTTCTTCGGGGAATGGTTGGGCTGCCTCTTTTAATGTATTGTTGACGTTCGCGGGCCGACTAAGGTGCAGATGGTTCCTGCGGCTATGTCACAGCAGCAGATTCAGGCTCGCCGCCTACGCCAGCCACCAGCGGATCGGATCAGGACCAGGCGGAGGAGGAGCAGCACGAGGACGAGCAGGACCAGGACGACAGGGGAGCAGGATTACACGGATGGGCGCGAGCGCAGGAGAATGGAGGCCGTGACGGGGGCGTGAGGAGGGAGTGCCGATGCGCACGGGCGGGAAGAGGAGGAGGAAGAGGGGGAGCAATGATTCGGAGCGTGAATTACCTCCCCCGCTTTCGCTTCCAGGCAAAACCAAGCCATACCACGCGCCTCCTCGTCGAGCGGCCTGACCAGTACAGGCCGCAGTTTGGCATCGTTTGGTATCTCTTGGAAGCGAGGGTGGTCAAAAGCGAGGTAGGTTTGTTTTCTCTCTAATGATGGGGCGAAGGGAGGGAGCGCGTCCCAGGCAGGGTGTGCTGGCGGGGGGAGCTCGTGCGCCGGAGCGCCTCAGTCTTGCCGAGCTGCGCAGGCCACGGCCCGCCTCGGCCCGCGCAGGACAGTGCCCCGCCTCCCGGGGACCCGGCCTCCCCAGCCCGCACAGGCGGCGCGCTCGCAGGAAATGGTTGACAGAACTGTCCCATGATGCCCTAGATCAGAGCCCCGAATCATCAGGGGTAACTCGGGTCAGGGTTAACTCGGGTTCCTTTTTCGGGAATCCGAACCCGAGTTACCCCGGACCCGAGTTACCCCGGATAACTCGGGCGTCCAGAGCCCCGAATCATCAGGGGTAACTCGGGTCAGGGATAACTCGGGTTCCTTTTTCGGGAATCCAAACCCGACTTACCCCGGACCCGAGTTACCCCGGATAACTCGGGCGCCCAAGGGGGGGGCAGAACCCCCACCCTGACACGTCGAGTCGTGAGTTGTCCGTTTTCGGTTCTCGAGAGGGTGCCGCGGCCGTCATTCTCCAGGCTTGCGCCCGCCAGGTCTGGGCCCGAGGTCGTTTTCGCTTAACCAGGCTTCACTGAAAGGGGTTCTGTCCATCCCCGAGAGAAGGACCATTCGCCGAGGAACCGGGAACCTCCTCAGAGTCGGTCAGGGTTCGGGCGGGTGGGGGCGACCCAAACGGGGGGGTGAAAAGGAGGCCCTCGAGGGGCAGTCTGGGGCGGGCCCTTCGAGGGCGCAGCAGCGGGGTCTCCCCGCCGGGCTCGCCCGCGGAGGCAGGCTGCCTCGGCCGCTGCCCGAGCTCGTGGCCTGGGGCAGGCGGTGGCCCTCGGCGACCGCCGACGCTGCCCGCTGTGCGGCGGCATCATCCTGGCATCGCTCGGACGTGTGCATCTTTTCCTCGGCGAGGACCATCGAGGACCATCCTGGACCATCGAGCAAAAAAACACAGGCACGAAACCGAAACATGCACGGGAGACGGACGTCCGAGCGACGGCGAGTCGTGGTCCTGCCTAGGCCCCCCAGATGGGGGTCGGAGCAGATGGGGTCGGAGGATCACGCCGCATCGGCGATGCGGCTCGATGCGGAGCCCGATCTCCTCCACGCCGACGGCGCCGATGCATCGCCGACGTCGCCGATGCTCCGGTGATGCATCGGCGATGTATCGGCGATGCGGCGCGATCCTCCGACCCCATCTATTCGGACCCCATTTGGGAGGCCTCCCGCGTACCCGCTGCTCGGCGGTATCATGATCCTGGACAGGCCAAGTCGGTGGAGCGGGCGTGGCTGTCGCCGTCGGCGCTATCATCGCACTTTTGGTATGTCTCTCATCGGCTCCGCGCATTGACATCTCGACTTGGCTATTCCTGGCATGCTCGAACTAGGTCTGCATCTCCTTCGCCTTGGTATCCAAGGGCTTCGGTGTGGCGAAGGGCGCCCTTTCGGTGTCGCTCACACTCGAAGCAGAGAATGGTTCAACTCTAGCCACCCGCGTCCCTCAACGAGCTTTGCCAATGTGGTTCAACGATGACACGTCACGCGCAGGGGTGAGCATGCTTATACACGAAATGATATGTTGCCTTGCCATGCGGCCAATGACGGCGCTGTCGCGTTCACGCTGAAACCCTGGACCGTCGCGAGCGCGTCAGCTGCACACTTTTCGACGAGCCTGGCCCGGGCGAGCGGCATGGCGAGGCACTGGTCCTTGCGCTCGGCTTCGCGAAGGTACGTCAGTGAGGCCACCACTTGGGAAAGATGCTTGTGATGGTTGCTTGCAACCCTCACTCGAAGGAGCAGCAGTGAAGCCACCGATTGAGAATGTTAGCTGCACCCTTCCATGCTCCGCGAGTGAGGTCTGCCCAACTTGCCAACATGCACCTCGAGGCACTGCTGCAGGGACGAGACTGGCGTGTGTGCGATGCCCGGTCGAGCCAGGGCAGCACCGGCAGCTGCCTCGCACCAGGGCCCCCGCCGTTTGCCACGAGGGCACGCTCCCGACCGCGGCCAGCTCGCTGGAGCAGGAGAGGTTGAGCGGCACTTGCTGACATGTGGCATCTTGGGCGTGGCGCAATGGGGGGGTGATACATGGGGGGGCCGCAAGAGCTGCAGAGAAGAGGCCCTGCAGGGCCCCTTCAGGAGCCCTGAGGGGCCCAAAAGGAGGCCTGCAGTCCGAAAAGTGTGCCTTTCTCCCACCACCACCCCAGTCATCATGCCCCCATTAAGCGACGCCCAGTCACTGTGCGACTGCAGTGGCTGCAGGCATTCCCGTGGGACTCCAGCTTGCTGTGCCACGCGGAGTTGCCGCTTTCGTCTGATTGGCAAGAATGGTACCCGCATTCTGGCGCCGTAAGCCGCAGAGTGGTGCAAAGAAATTGAAGTGCCTCAAGCGCCCCGTGGAGGCACAGAGCTTCGTGGATTGATCCCCAGACGCTTCAGGAGGAATAGGACCATGAGGCGGTGCGGCGTGTTTCAGAGACATGGGCCAGTTGAACAGTAGACAAAGAGTGCACATGATTGTGATACTGTGAAGGCCTCAACGGCGACAGCGACAGCGACGACGACGACAACGACGAGGACGACGACGACGACGAGGACGACGACGACGACGACGTGGATCTGATCGCGACAGCTTGCATCCGGCTGCCAACGGCAAGCCCCGCCACCGCGCCAGCGCAGGGCGAGGGGGACGACGAGAGTTTCAGGCCTGTTTGGGTTCACCGCCCTGTGTGAAATGGAGCGGGTCCCCACCATCGAAGACCTGCCATGGCATGCCCTTCGAACCAAAGCATGTTCTGCGCACAACAGCAAGGCTCTCAGAACATGAAGCCGACGTTAAACAAATGCATTCCCAGCTGGAAAGGTTTACGAACACTACGGGCAAACCTCAAATGCAACCTTCTTCGAAGAAGAAAAAGCTATAAACAACAATGTTTGACGGCCCGCGCGGACTTATTGGATCTGCGCTGGCCTGCAGATCCAAGAAATCCGCGCGGAGCGCCAAAAGTTTATGTTTATGTTGTTGTTTATTATTCTAGGCCTGTTCCAGTTCATCACCTTGTTTGAAGTTGAGCCGGTCTTAACCATTCCCGTCCTTGTCCTCAGCCTCGTTCCGTCCCCATTTTCTCTTCATCTTTCTCTTCCACCTTTGCCCCCCTGTCTCCCTCTTGAAGGCGTCTTGGAGGCTTCTTGGGCTTTCTTCAATGTCGTGTTGGGCGTCTCGGGGCCATCTTGGGCGACATGGTTCTACCAATCTCTCACGAAACGACTCGGTGGAGCCATTTGAGGCGGATTGTGTGGGTCGTGCAGCTCTCTTGGGACTATCTTGGGCCGTCTTGGTGGGTGCTTGGCCCATCTTGGGGCCGCCTTTACGAGGTTTGTTACAGTCCCCTGGCACCATGTTGGGGCTTTCAAGGGCCTCCTAGAGCCCATCTAAGCTGACGAGTGCCAGAGACGACCAATCATGATATCCTCCCTCATTGTTCTGTTGTTTTCGCCTCCCAGGGCCTCGAGGGATGCTTGGAGCCTCTGGAGGAACTTTGGCCTGCTGGTGTTCGCACTGGCGCTACTTGGTCGGGCCTCGAGACCGTAGTACACCTTAGGCGATGTTTAAGAAAACTAAATTTTCGTCCAGAGTCTCGCTGATTCTTAATGTTTCAATGTAAACCCTACAAATTTGGTAGACATTTGGAGTTTTTTCAAGTTCTGAGACTATGAATTTCTTAACCCATGATTTCTTGAGCATTTCGCAGGGTGTATTATAGCTCTCTCGCGGCTTTGCCCATCACCGGGGAGCGATCACCGATCGCAGATCGTCGCCCAGCGAGAGGTCACAGGCTGGCGCGGCGCCCAGCGAGGGTGAAGGGTCGCCCTGATCCGCGGCACCGCCACGCGGTCTAACGGGTGCCTTCAGACCAGCCAATCAAGTTTGCATGTTGGGACCTCCTTCGGGCACGGCAGAGCTGCCCGCATCAAGATGGATTGGGCTCGCCAGGTCATTGGCCAGAGTGCCCATCAGTAAAGTCCCCGCCAGGGGATCTCCCTCATAAGTCTGTTGGAGGTGTGCCAAACAGCTCGAAGGCATCCTGGCACGCCCCAGTAGATGCCGAGCGTGCGGTGGCGGCCACGATTTGGGTGGTTAGCGACAGCGGTGCCGATGGTGGCACGGAAGAGCGATGGGAGAAAGGGGTGCATATGCCACCACCCACCCCACCCCCCAGCGTCGGAGAACATTGAAGAAAGCACGTGTGTAACCCGGCCCCCCCCCCCCTCCAACCCGAAGTTTGGGCCTTCGGGTCGGGTTGGGGTGGTCTGGTAGGTCGCCAATCTGTTCTGGTGCAGCGACAGGGGGCGTGGGAGTGGCAGTGGCCCCAGGGTAGAGGCATCGACCCGAGATCCCGAGCGCGCGGTGGCAGCCACGCTGCGGGCGGCAGCGACAGCGGTGGCGGAGGTGGCACGGCAGAGCGATGGGAGAGAGGCGCAGATGTTCGGGGGCAGCGACAGAGGGGGGTGTTGGCACAGTCCGTAGACGGGCTAACGGCGATGTAGGTAACGGCGATGTAGGTTCTGACAGTGTGGGAGCGCGTGGCCCGCGCTCTCCTACGATTCGCTGTGTCGTATTCGCTCAGTCCCTTCGCAGGTTGGAGATGTAGGAACGCGTGGCCAGTGGTTTCCTACAGTTTGGCTCCCAACATCACCGTTCAGCAACATCGCCGTTAGTCCGGCCTTGGACAGTGGAAGAGGCATCCACCCGAGATGCCCACTCGTCGCGAGTCGGGGCTGCGGCCCCCCCACCCCGCCCAGGGGCGTCTGGCTTCGCTATCCGTGGGGCCTGCTGTCGTGGATCGGTCGGCGATGCTCCGCCGATTTTCGGGCCAGAGCCTCCCTCCTGAGCCAGCCCCCCTCCATCGTGATCCCTCGTGTGTGTGTGTCCCGGTAAGAACAAGCTGCCCAGGCATACGAGTTCGGAGGTCCGCCTGGATGGATTGGATCGGCGCTGGACCCCCGCGCGAGGGAGGGGGGTCCTGCGCGGATGGAAGAACTCTGTGCGGCACTGCGACAGTGCACGTTTTTTTTATAGTTTGTTTGTTTCTCTACAGTTCCTCGATAGCCCGCGTCAGGAGCTTTCCTACAGGACAGCGGTGCGTTTTACAACTTGTTCCCGTCTGATTTGCAGACCACTCCAGCAGCTCGAGTCGAGACATTGATTATTGGCAATCTTCCCCGCAGATGATGTCCAGCGGCATGCCACAGCATGGCAACGGCTGCCAAGGCAGGATGGGGCGTCCCTTGCTGGATTAGTCCACTCCCTTCTGGTCGGGTGCATGCAAGCAGTAGCAGACTTGGAATTGAGCCCCCCGCATGACGTATTGAGGAATCGAGCGCAGATCGTGCATTATTCGGCGATGCGGCTTTGTTTGCATAACCCCCCACGTGCAGTAACATATTATGGTTTGAATAGGAGAGTGTATCTTATCCGAGTTGTTCGGTCTTCGCAGTTGATACTCCATGTTCCTCGCCTCCCCTGCCTCCTCCTACTACCCCTAATGTTCCCCCCTCAGCCTCAATTCAGAGATTCGCAGTCGTCATGCGTTTGTCATCGCTTCCCTGGCCTACGTGAGGGGTGGACGGGTGTTCAGGTTGGCTGGTGAGGAGTGGGTGCGTGGAGTGACGGTGTCTAGCGGGACGGGGTTGGGTGATATGCTCTTCGTGTTCCTCATTCCTTCTATTCCTCCTGGGTTGGTGGGGGCGGGGAGGGATGATGTGGGGTGAGGCAGCATAGGCTGGATTCGCGGGTGATTGTGGTGTTTGTTTGGGAAAGGCTTGAATGGATGGATTGGGCCGGGTATGGGTCGAGTACGTCAGTTTCTCGCATTTGTCTAGGCTTGTTTCTGCATGAGCATTTCCAGCATTTCTTGTTTCTGCATTATCATGTCAAGCAACGTTTTGCATCATGTGGTCGCAGCGGTTTCCAGGGGGCGAGAGGCATCGACGTTGAACAAGCCCCGAAGCCTTGAGCGCAGTGACCGTCATGAAAAATCGCGGCCCTTGCTGTCCCCACGCGCGGTTTCACTTGAGCACCGTTGTCGTTGCAATTTGTCTTAGAAGCCAAGGGTGATGGTTGCGGGGTGGTACTTCTGAACCGATCGCACCGAGAGAATCTGTGATTACTGCGGGCGGTCAGTTTTGCCTTTGTTTTTTGCGAGCGTCGTTGCTCTCGGGCGCTGCCGACGAGCATCCAACGTGCAGATGTGCATGCCAAGAGTGAGTTGGCTTCGTGCTGCGGCATCCAGTGGCAAGTACTCTCGTACCCGTTGCGCCAAAGCAACGTTGGCTCGGCGTGCGAAGTGTTCGTTTTGTCAATGGCGCTCCCATTGAAAAGCATTTTGCGGGGAGGCGCCCGTTTGGGATTGGTATTTTCACGGCCTCAATATGCAAAGAGCGACAGTGGTTCCCGTCTGCACGCGAAAGGGGGGAGACTCGTAAACCCCACCCCCTCCCCTCTCCAATGGGGGGTCTGTTTCTGACACACACACCCTGCGAGGCGGGGATCTATCCGTATCCACCGCCTGGGAACCGACGCCCAGGTGCCTTGGCGGGCGGGCGGTGGATGTGGACATAGTTCGGCGGCCCCCGTGGGCCCGAATCTGTCCGAAGCCACCGCATGTCAAGGCTCCGAAAGCTGACCCTCCAGGCGGTGGTCATGTATATAGATTCCCGCCTCGGACCCGTGCCCCCCAGGGGATGGACGGCCCTGGGGGGCTTCATCAAAGCAGAAGCCAGGCGACTCCTGGAGAGTTCGCTCCAGGAGTCGCTGCCTCCTCCTGCCTCCTGCCCCCCGCCTCCTCCTGCCTCCTCCTGCCTCCTCCTCCTCCTCCTCCTCCTCCTTCTCCTTCTGCCTCCTCCTCCTCCGCCTCCTCCTCCTCCTCCCCCTCACCTTCAAGAGGGGGCGGTGTGCACGCCCCCCCTCCCCCACTGTGCTACAGCCAGGAGGTGGAGGAGAGTCCGCCCACCCCTCACCCCTCCTCCTCGTCCTCCTCCTCTCCTCCTCCTCCTCTCCTCCTCCTCCCCTCCTCCTCCTCCTCCTCCTCCTCCTCCTCCTCCTCCTCCTCCTTCTCCTCCTCCTCCTCCTGCTCCTTTCACTTTGAATGGTTTCCAAACATTTATGGCTCTCGGCAACCAGCATGCCGATGAGCTCGCGGGAAGCGCGGCCCACAAGTCGGCCACCCTTGCCCTCCCGCCTGTCCCCAGGACCGATGAATATGACGCTATTGCAGCCATCGTCCGACAGAGGGCCCGACTGATCTTACGTTCCTTAGGCAAGAATTCAGAGCCTCGAGGACAGTGGCCAGAGAGGCAATCCACCCAGCAGTCAGCCCCTCGCTCTCAGTTGCAGACCGCGATCGCGGCTTCTCAGCACAAATTCGAGCGGTGTGCAGACAAATGGAGATGCCCTGCCTGCCTCATCGTCGTTGACGCTTGCCACGTTATTCCTGCTGCCGCCACTCAGTGTGTGCCGCCTTCCCCCCTTCCCGAGTTCGCTGCGTGTGGAGAGGTGCTGTGGTCGAGGGGTCCCCGCGTGATCAGTGGCAAGTTGATCCACCCCTCCCACACTTTGGCCACCATCCCCAAGTGGCAATTGTTCTTTTGTGTGAAGTGCGGCCATACGGCCACGCACCAGGTTAAAAACCTTCTTTTGCCGTGCCCTCTCTCCCACCAAGTGGGAGAGCGCAGGGCCCTGGGACCCTCTGGCAAAGGCCTCGAGAACCTCAGCAGGATCAGGCGAGGCCTCCACCCGTCCAGAGCGGGTCCCAGCAAGTCTGTGCTTGAAGCTTTGCACGTTTCGGCAGCCGAAGCCGCGATCGGTTCCTACGCGGCGGGCGCTGCCACCGAGTAAATTGTGAGGCCAGGGGGGCCTGTCGCGGTGGGCCGTGGGATGTCGCCCCCCACGGCCCTCCGAGAAATACTGGATGGTCCCCCTGGCATCCCTGGGTTCCGAACGGACTACGTCCGATTGCTCCACTCCACTCCACTCCTCCTCCTGCTCCTCCTCCTTGGCGGCAGAGGGAGCGGGACGGGGTGGGCTCTCGGGGCGTGGGGGTGTTGGAGTTTGCGGTCCGGGCGCGGGGTTGGGGACAGGGGCGCAGGGTTTCGGGTGTTGAGGTTCAGGGTCAGGGGCAGCGTTCAGGGGCAAGGTTCAGGCGTTAGGTTGAGGGTTCCGGTTGTCGGGGACCACATGCTACCCTTAGGATGCATGTAGTGCTAGGGCTTAAGGGGACTCGGGGAGAAAGGGCAGGGTTAGGCTGTTAGGGCTGCGTTTAGTGTTTAGCGTTCGAGTTTAGTGTGGTAGGGTGTTGGGGGTATCAGGGATTAGGGTCAGTGTTTAGGGTTTGGGCTTAGGGGTGAAGGTTTAGGTTTAGGGCGTCAGGACTAGAATTCGTGTTTCGGGTCAGGGTGTTAGGGATAGGGCGACAAGGTGTAGGGTGGCAGGGTTCAGGGTTAGGATTAGCGATTAGTAGGAATAGTCAGTTGGGTGTTAGGGGTCAGGGTTAGCGCGTTAGGGGTAGGGCTTAGATGCTTAGGGTGATAGCGTTGGAGAAATGTTCGGATGTCCAGATTTGGGTTTAGGGCTCGGGATTAGGATTAGGACGAGGACGAGGAGAGTCCTGAGCGCCTGAGTGCACCTGGGAGAGGGCACCGCGAGAAGGGGAGGCGGAGGCTGCCAGGGCGGCTGCCAGGGCGGCTGCCTGGGCGGTTGCCAGGGCGGCTGCCAGGGCGGCTGCCAGGGCGGCTGCCTGGGCGGCTGCCAGGGGGGCTGCCAGGGCGGCTGCCAAGGAGGCTGCCAAGGAGGCTGCCAGGGAGGCTGCCAGGGCGGCGGCTGCCAGGGCGGCGGCTGCCAGGGCGGCGGCTGCCAGGGCGGCGGCTGCCAAGGCGGGCCACCAGGGCGCTCCTCTTCCTCGGGGCGAGGGCAGACCGGCAGGATCATCTGGCTCCCTCGGTCGGTTGTGCTGCCCCTGGCGATGGAGAGGGTCGTGCCCGCCTGCGCATCACTCGGGGGGAAAAAACGGACACGGGGGAGCCGTGGCGCGCTTCGCAAAGACGGCGTGAGGAGGAGGAGGAGGTGGATGAGTAGCTCGCTGGTCACTTGCAGCTTTCTCGTGTGCTTCCTGTCGCTGCCCTCTGTCTCCAGCTCCCCCGCCCCGAGTCAGTCCTGGGCCCACCGCCGATCCGTCGGCGATGCAACCACCCCCGATTCAAGCTCGACGTCTCTCTGCAGCCAGCAGGGGAGGGGGAAGTGAGAAGGAACCCCCCCGGCCTTTTGAGAAGTTGTTGTAAGCCTTTCCCGAAGACACAGAGAAACATCCTCGGGAGGCCCGAGGGCTTCTGAGAAGGCCCGGCGCCTTCCGAGAAGGCCTTCTCCTTCCAATGTTCCCCTCGCTCGCCGTCGAGTTTTCCCTCCTGTCGGGGGAGCGTAAGACCCGGGTTTGCCAGGACTCGGGTTCGCCATCGTTTTTTGACGACCGCGGCTCGGATTTTGACGAGGAGAAGTTTCGTGGGATGTCTGCAGCGGGAGGCCTCGTCAAAATGCAGGCTCGGCCTCGTCATTTTTTTGACAACCTCGTCGGGGATTTCCGAGTCCCCTCTACCCGGGTCTTACGCCCCCCTGATCCTGAGCTGGCTACCCGCGAACGTTGCCCAGCACTTCTGGACCAGTCGAGGCCCAGGCGGGATTCGAAGGGGACGGTCTCGGGTGCAGCCATTGCGCCGGTAGAGTCGGGAGGGACAAAAATCTACAGACGCCGCGGATAGCTGATCCTCATCAGCCATGGGGAAAGCATGGGAAACGGAGGGGAGGCGGAAAGTCCTTGTGTGTGCTTGTGTTTGTGCGTGTATGTGTTTGTGTCTGTGTGTTTGTGTGTCTGTGCGTGTGTGTGTGTGTGTGTGAATGTGTGAATGTGTGGTCGTGAGTTTGTGTGTGCGTGTGTGTTTGTGTATTCGTATGTGTGTGTGTGTGTTTGTGTGTGCCTGCGTGTGTGTTTGTGTGCGTGTGTGTTCGTGTTTTTGTTGTTGGTGTTTTTTTTGTGTGTGTGTGTGCGTGTGCGTGTGCGTGTGCGTGTGCGCGTGTGTGCGTGTGTGCGTGTGTGCGTGTGTGCGTGCGCGCGTGTGCGCGTGCGCGCGTGTGCGCTTGTGCGCGTGTGCGCGTGTGCGCGTGCGCGCGTGTGCGCTTGTGCGCGTGTGTGCGTGTGTGCGTGTGTGCGTGTGTGTGCGTGTGCGTGTGCGTGTGCGTGTGTGTGTGTGTGTGCATGTTTGTGCGTGTTTGTGCGTGTTTGTGCGTGTGTGTGTGTGTGTGTGTCTTTGTGCGTGTGCGTGCCTGTGCGTGTGTGTGTGCTTGTGCTTGTGCTTGTGCTTGTGCTTGTGTTTGTGCTTGTGCTTGTGCTTGTGCTTGTGCTTGTGCTTGTGCTTGTGTGTGCCTGTGTGCGTGTCTCCCTGGGCCCCTCCCCTGCAGAGGAGGCAGGAGAAGGGAAGAGCTGCACAGCGCGGCAGCTGCTGCGAAGACGCCTCGGCTCTGCGAGTCACGCAGGGGCAGGTTCAGCCCGTCCGAGCCCGCGGCCTTTGGGGCCGCGCGCTCGCGCCCCCGCTCAGGGCTCCTTCCTGGCATCGCTCGGACGTGTGCATTTTTGTTCTCGGCAAGGACCCTTGAGGAGCATCCTTGATCATTTGGCGAAAAAACCACGCGCGAAACCGAAAAAAAACACAGGAAATGGACGTCCGAGCGATGGCGAGCCTTTCGATTCCTGTAAGCGATGCAATCCGATTGCGACGGACTTCGCTCTGAACCCCGACTTCTCCGAGGGGGGCCTGGTAGCACGCCGATTTCCGCAGATGCGACGTCTCCCGACTTGGCTGCCGATTGCCGCCAGTCCGACTCCGTTCGGTCGCCGCTCCCGCCCGCGGGCGCCCGCCCGCCCCGCCGCCTCCCCCCACTGCCTCCAGGCGGCTGCCAGGGCCCCGGCCACCAGCGCGGCGGCTGCCAGGGCGGCCCCGCCTTTCTCTCCGGAGCGTGCCCCCGGACAGGCAGGGAGGAGGAGGAGGAGAAGGAGGAGGAGAAGGAGAAGGAGGAGGAGAAGGAGGGGAGGAGGAGGAGGAGGAGGAGGAGGAGGAGGAGGAGGAGGAGGAGGAGGAGGAGGAGGAGGAGGAGGAGGAGGAGGAGGAGGAGGAGAAGGGGGAGGTTGTCGATCGTTCTCGCCAGTTTTCGGCGGTTTCACTGCCTCGCGATGCACTGCGCTCCAGCGGCGGCGCCTTGCCGACAGCGTCCCCGGGGGGTAGCCCGGATCGCCCCGAAACGGCCACCGGAGCGTCGAGTTATGATCTCAAAACCACCAGGTGCCAGGTGCCCGAGATGATGAGCTTGTTTTCCACCACCACCACCATGAGTTGGATGGGGAGGGGGTCCTCCTCCTCGTCCTCCTCCTCGTCTTCCTCCGTCCCTCCCTTCCTCCTCCATCCTCCTCCTCCTCCTGCCTCCTCCTCTCCTCCTCCTCCTCCTTCCTCCTCCTCCTCCTCTCCGTCTCCTCCTCGTCCTCCTCCTCGTCCTCCTCCTCCTCCTCCTCCTCCTCCTCCTCCTCCTCCTCCTCCTCGTCCTCCTAATCGGCGTTGGGGCTCAGACACTTGGAGCCCCGACAGAGGAATTTTTTTCGTTGAAACTCACTCGCACGACTTCCGCCGCACACTCTTACGGGCCAGATTGGGAGTAGGGGGGAATGAAGGACGGATGGCGATTGTTTGGGTCCCGATATGTGCATTGAGGAAGTTGGTCTTTTACAACCCGGTGGCGGCGAGTATTACGGACCGACGGGACGAAATTAGCAGAGCAGTACGGGAATGGTGATTGTGTTGACTGGGACGCATCAGTGGTCAGGGCCACATACGATGAAAAAACAACCAGAGGTACCATGTGGCACTGCAATTAGGGGCAAGAAAAGGGAATCTAGTTTCTAGAACATGCGGAAATATTTTCATGGTGTCCCACGATACGATGAAGGACAAAGCGCTCCACACGCACTACACCCCACGTGTTCAAGTGCAAAAGAAAGCAGCGGGAGTGCGATTGCGTACCAAGGCTTACAATGTCGATTGATGTGCGACGTACTTGCCACCTGTACTCCAATCGCGGGATTGGTTCCTCAAAAAACATGAAATGTGTGGAAGCGCGGTGTGATGAGACGGACGGGTGGCAGATCTACAATCATCGTGGGGGAATACAGCAGCAGTCAATTGGGAATGCACAGGACGGAGAACAGGGATTTGGTGGTCAGCAGGCACTATTCGGCCAAACGTGCAGCATCATTTGGACCTGTTGCAAGGGAAGTGGCAATTGACAACGGCGCAGATTTCAGGAATCTTTGTGTACACGGCCTACAGTCACTGGCCACGACATTTCCCGAGTGTGGGGCGATCCATTTTTGCGTCAACGACGACAAGGTACGCACGAGCGAAATCGACCACATTGCGATACCGACTGGGGCCCTACCACACGCGCGACGGCGTGCACCCTTGCTAAGAGTGGCCAAACAGCTTCGACGCATCATGGTGAGAGGACACCGAGACCAGCGCTGCAAGATAGCTGCATCACGGAGGGCGTTCCCCCCAATGGGGCGCCCCGGTGGAACTCTTGGATGACGTTGTATCCCACGGTCAACCAATTGGATCCAGAGCTGCCGAGCAGGAAGCTGGAGGAGCAGAGAATTCGGGCAGCGGAGCAGCGCGAGGACGACGAGGACGCGGCCAAGTACATCTCCCTTCACAAGTGCAAAGCCGGCAGGGCAAATATGCAGCGGATGGGATGGGGGGCAGGCGCTGCGTTTGGGCAGACAGGGAGAGCTGGCGATGCAGAAGCGCTGCGCGCGAGCGAGCGAGAGGCAAGCGCGCCACCGCGGGAGGCACGAGAAGGATGGACTGGGGTCGCCAGCGACGGAGGCCGTTGCAAGTTTGGCGCGCAGAAGCAAGCTGGAGGACACCCACATCGACCGGCGCCAGTCACAAGCCGCGCCGTTGGACCAGCACAGGTCGATATCTTCTTTCTGTGGAGACAGGCAATACCAAAGAAGGCATTGAGGGCAAAAGAGTTAAGCGTGCGCATTGCTCAATGGGAATGGCTTTCCATGAGGGAACCCATTGCCGGGGGCGAGCACCGAGCCACCCTTGCTGGACCCAAGGCGGTCTTCCGAACAGGTCAAGGGACAGCGCGATAGCTTGTGTCGAGGCTACAGAATGGAGAGCGAGACAGGCAGGGATCAGTACCATTGCCAGCATTTACGACTTCACCAAAGCTTTCGCGAGCACGAGGCGAAACTTCCTGCTGGCCCCGGCCTTTGCCACGTCAAGAGAGGAGGGCCAGCCCTTTGCGATCGAGGCAATGAACTGCACGGCGCTCAGCATGGAATGCGCCGACGACTGGGTTCGCGCGCTGACCGCCCAGGGCGCGCAGATGGGATTTTTTTCGCCCGCGGCAATTCAATGATACTTACAATATCTACGCGGGGCAATGACACCAAGAAGATCAGGAGATGACGAGACGCACGCGGTGCATGACGCAACGAACCCGACTGCGGAGCGGGATCACGACCTCTCGCTCAGCGCGCTCATGGACGACGTCACCAAGTTCCACGCGGTGGCCCCGCCTTCCCCGACGCAGGAGCTGACTGGTGCTAGCGAGGGCATCTCGGAGCGCCAGCCAGCCCCCAGCGAGAGCGAGGGCATCTCGGCTCGTCGGGGCGCACCTAGCAAGGGGAAGGGGGGGGGGGCAAAATCGCAGGCGCGCAGGATTGGGGAGCAGATCGACGCCGCGACCGAGCGCTTCGAGCGCCAGCTGGCCAATGGAGGGCGGAATCTCAACCCAGCCAAGACCAACCACCTGGTTTCTCTACGGGGTCAAGTGCGAGACGTAGCCACGCGCCAGCTCCAGCGGGAAGGACGGCTCAAAGGAACGCCGACGAGGGAGACGCGCGCGCCGGGGCCCCGCTTGCCCGGCGATCAAGGCTACGCAGGAGAGATCAGAAGGAGGTGCGAGGCTCTGCAAATAGCCCACAGGCAACGCGGGCGCTTCTGTTCTTCAGATACTCCGGACAAGTTAGGAAAGATATGCGCCAGTCCTCTGTTCCAGGCGCGGGCCTCAGCGAACAGGCGGCATTTCTGCTGGAGGACCGCAATGCGAAGAGTTGGGCCGCACCATGGCAATGCCATTGAGAAGGATGGCAGAGGGCAGAATGAGCCACTCCATCGATGCGGTATTCAAATGGTGGAGGACGCCGCGCTGCGCTACCTCATCGCGAATTCGCAGGCTACGATGGCGCTTGCAATGGGCACGGCGCCCAGAGGACTTCGGCAGTGCACTTGCGGCGGTATTTGGAACATCGAAGCCGGATCGCACTGGCGGGGTCAGCGACTGGAGAATGGACGGGCGCGCATGGCGTCAACGCCTTGGGCCCAGCAGGTTGCCCAGCATTTTCAGGCGCTGGTGGAGATCAGCGAGGGCGCGGCGAACCGGCGCCCGTAGAGGCACCCCGACATCTCCACGCCCCAAACAAGCACGAGGGATTGGGGACCTCGGGTTGGCACGGCACCCGGCGCACTTCGCCGCGCTGGGCAGATGCGGGGCGCAACCCTACCAGAGGTTCCCGATCGGGGCGATCTTCACCCCTTTTTGGCGCGACTGGGAGCAGGGTGCGGACGGGGCAGGCGCGCGGGGCGCAAGTTGCAGCGGCGGCGGCGCTGGCGGCGCGCAGGAGAGCGGCGCGCAACTGCCGGCCTCTTGCCCCCAGTCTAGCGGCGACCAACAAGCGCCCCTGGCGCTTGAGCTTGCCCGCCGCGAATAAAAAACATCACGGTTGACCTGCTATGAAATCAAAAGCATTTGGAACCGCCCCGCGCAGGAGCCTGCCCCCTCTGCGGCTATCGGGCCCAATCGCTCGGGGAGTTTCAAATCCACGTCCGCTGCCGCCGGCCAGGTCCTCACAGCGTCTCGCCCCCCCCCCAGGATGGCGAGCGCTTCCCGGCGCCCCCCGCCCCCCCCCAAACAAAAACGCAGGGCCGATGCAGAGATGAAGGGGGGGCCGAGGCGCCGCGAGGGCGGCGAGGGAGATGGCGGGGGCCAGTGGGCAACGGGCGCGGCCAGCGCAATGGCGGCAGGGGGCGCGCCTTCGGCCGCGGCAGCGGCGGCGGGAGGGGTCGGCAAGGGCGGGGGGGGAGGCCGCAGGCCCCGCCGCCAGCAAACCCAGGCAACGGACGGTTACGAGAAGCCCGGACTCAGAGGAGCCATCCATGGACCCCAGCGCTTAGTCTTCCAATCCGCGGCAGGGATGTGAGAGATGAACCACCTGACCACGGACTTCTACTTCGCCCCAGTCAGCGCATGGGCGTTTCGGAAGTCACTGACAGCGGGCCACCTGTTACGGGAACCCGACCAGAGAGCGCGGCAAGGGGCATCCACTCGGACCGCCAGGCACCCACGCGGCAATGGCGCCAACGGAAGGCATCTCAGAGATAGTGACGGAATTGCAGGAAGAAGACGCCACATCGGTGGAAGCGTTTATGGCATGGGCGATCGTCACGCTGAACAATTTCTCGGCGTTGGTGGGCGGCAGCAGTACCTACTGCTAGGCCATGGTCACCGAGGCGATCAAGCTGTGCAACGCCAGCGAGAGCTTCACAGCTCGCAGCAGCAAGAACAACCCGAACGAGGACGAGCAGTCCTGGGAGGAGGGCGTGGACAATATCCAGATCAGCATCAACACGACCCCCAGATTCCGAGCGGCGTTCCCGAAAGGCACGAACGAGGAGATCTTGGAGAAGTTGGACATGCCTTCGGGCCACAACTTGAAGAGCGCAGTGGGGGCGCCGATCGCGTTCGCGGGCGGCAAGACGCTTCAGTCGGCAGCGCCCAAGGCGCGGTTAGAGAGGGCGGTGGAACGAAAACTCCAGCGTCGTCGCCGCCAAGAGAAGAGGGGGCGGCAGCGCGGGCGATGGCATCCCGAAGC